ATATTAGAAATAAGATTCAACTTAAGAACTATCATTTATTGAGTTATTAAACAATGCATTGAAATTATCACAATCTTTAAGATGAAGTAATAGAAATGAAGATCCTAAAGAACAACAAATTCTTCTTTGAATAGATGGTGAGATATATCATGTTGGTATCACAACATTAGGAGAGACTTTTGATATTTGGTGATATTATTCAAAGTAAAAACTAATCTTAATGGTGTTTAAAATGTTTTATTTGAAAGAAGTTATGAAGATCTCAATAATGAGCAAATAATAAAACGGTCTTTTTATTCAAATATAAGATAATATCAATGATTGAAATAACCTATCAAATATCTTTAATAGAAATAAAGATTAAAATATGGGAAAATATAATTTTCCATATTTTAAACTTTAATATGTGATCATTACTTATCATGGAATTTGTCCTTAGAAGGCTAAGTAATGCCATATATATCTATATATATATATATATATATATATATACATTAGTAATTATTTAGAGTAGAGGAATATTTAAGTAAAAGTATATAAATATAATAATATCTCATGGAAAAGTTTTTCAAAAATTATATAGACATAGATTTGAATTTACACATGATTGTTGATGGTTGACAGGTTGAATACTTGGCTAATAATTTAGCCATGTATTGTATATATTTGAAACTTATCTTGCAAGTTAAATACTTGTCTTGTAAATAGAAAATATGTTGGATCTTATATAACTTATATAATCTTATAATCTTATAATCTTAGCAATAGCCACTCCAATTACTTCTTGAATATGTATATATATATATATATATATTCATCTTTCTTTCATAAAAATTTCATATAGTTCTTATATTTTAATAATTAATATGTAAGTTAAATTATTTATTTTTATAAAAATAATTTAATAGATTAAAAATAATATGATAATTATTTTTCAAAATATCAATATAATAACTAAAAGGTATTAAAAAAATTCTAAAATAATTTTTTATTCTTATCATAGAAATATTCTTAAATAAAATATAACTTGGAACAAACTACCTTAAATTACTAATACATATGTGAATATTAATTACTAAAGCTACATGTTTAAGCATGGAATTTATACATCTCAGCTATAATTGTTTCAAAAATAATAATAATTAAAAAATTTACTTAATTTAAATATATTAATTTTATTTTTAAAAAAATATTTTATTTATTTTCTATTGATTTTTTTATTTTTTAATATAATTAAAGGAACTAAATATAAAAATATAATAATAATTGTGATAATCTAATTTTTTATATTGATATCCAATTTAGTATAAAGATCAATCATTTTTGTCTTTTAATATCTATTTTAAAATTATGATATTATTTTTAGAAATTTCTACAAAATATCATCTAAAAAAAATCTAATATTAATAATAATAATAATAATAATAATATTTTTTAAAGAATTAAAAATAAAATATTTTTTATATTTTTATACATGCCTTTTGGTATCCTAAAATACAAAATAACGACCTTTATAAATATTTTATTTATTTATTTATTTATTATTTACATGTATAGATATGTATAATAGCTATTAATAATAATTTTTTTAAAAAGATAATTTAAAGTAACAAGATCTATATAATTTTTTTTTTATTATGCTATAAAACTTCTAATAAGTTCAATTGAATTATTTTGTTTGATGTTAAGATCCAAATTTTATATGATTGATTTTATGAAAACATTAAAAGTAATATTCAATCTCTTATATATATATATATATATATATATATATATATAGTTACTAATACTTCTACCACATCTTGTTATCTACTTGAAATGTTTTTTTTTTTTTTTTTTCTTCCAATAAAAAAATTATATATATATATATATATATTGAAATGATCCATCTATTTATTAAATTAATTTTCTATATCATAACTATCATTAGAAAAATTGATCATCTCCAAAAACCAACATTACAATCATGGCCCTCATTTCCAACCCTTGCTCCTTCTATTTCCAATATTTTTCATCCCAACTTCCACATTTTTAGTTTTCATCTTGATCCTCCTTATTCTCCTCTATTCTTAGTTATATGAATCTTAGTTGAAAGTTTTTCTTAGCAATATTTTGAATACTCTACCTATGACTCCTTTATACTCAGCTTGCTTGCTATGCCTTCTTCTATACCATCATCTCTATCTCTTCTCCCTAATATAAGGAGCATACAAAATAACCAAGACCTTATAAAGTGCAATAAATGATATTACTAGCATATGTGTGTGAGTGGCAATAATGAGGAGGCTTTTTTCATTAAATCAAAAGTGTCAAGATCTCAAAGTTAGTATAGTGGTGGTAGCTCATCCAATTTGTAAAGAATCCTAAAGAATCAACTATAAGGTGCTGAAGGAGAGCACTAATCATTTCTAAAGGAGATCCATAGTTGTCGAAGAGGTCTCAGTTGCAAGGTGCACACTAAGTTCTTTCTATGAGGCTTTCATGAGGTTTTTGAGTCTTAAGGAGTTTTTGTAAATCTTGGAAGGAACATTTTAGGTTCTTGTGGTGGTGTGTTGGATGCAAGATCCTACTTGAGGTTTAGTGTTGGATTTTACAAGTGGAATTTTTTTCTTTTTTATTTATTTTAGTAGCAATAGAGAGTGCAAACTTGAACCATAAATGACTTTCAATATTGAATTGAACTTACAACATTTTGAGCTTATCAAACTTAAAAAAGATCTTAATGCTCTAATTGAGCTATATTCAATCATGCATTTGTAAGGTGACAAAAGATATCCATCCAAGATTCAAGCTTTAGAGGACTCACAATATACATCAAACTTGCATCTACATTGCTATTAATGAAGACATAATGACCTACAGATTAAATACGTAACTAAACTATCTAGTTCACAAATATGACTACATAGAGTCATGATCAAAGGTATTAGTCTAATACAAACACATAACAAAACCTAGTTAGAATCCAATCCAAACCACTCAAATAAACACCATAATAGGTTCCCAAATCAAAAGAATCTCACTCAAAAATTCTACACGATGTGTAAGAATTATATTTGTGTCTAAAATCAAATATAACATGATAATTAGACTCACCTCATCACAACACATTTTTTGAACAAAAATTCTTAAACAAAACACAAAAAGCGACCTTCTAGTACACAAATAACTCTAACTTGACAACAACCCTACTTAATCAAAAAAGTCCATGCAAATCACATCCACAAATTAAAGTCTCCACTCATGGCAACAAAACAATAGAAATAAATAAAATAAATAAATAAACCAAATTGAGCCTCACGATAATAATTAATGCAACAAAGAGAGTGTTCATAAGGTAAACAAGTCCAAAAAAACTCTATTACAATATATATATATATATATATATATATATATATATATAAATAATATTATATTAAAAAAAATAAAAAAACAAACAAACAAACATGGACAACAAACTCCTTAACTCCTTAGATTTTTATACTTCATGATCTCATTTTATACTTATAAAATAAGAAATATATAGAAAATTTTGACAAAGTGTAAAATAGTGACCTAAACACTTTTTTTTTTTTTTTTTGGATGTGATACGTAGGCAAATTCTGTAGATAAAATGCATACTAATTTATATACTTAAGACTAAATTATAACTAATAAATATTATTCTTTTTACAGCATTAAAAATTATTTGATATTAAATTGGATTATGTTTCAAATGACATAAATTGGTAAAAACAAAAAAAAAATTAATTAATTAATTAATTAATAATTAAAAACATACACACACACACACACACATATTTATTATAAGCTATAAAGTCACCATATGATCTTACAAATCAGCTGTCTCCAAATTAATCTGGTTTCAACATAAATTTAAATGAAACAAAATAAAAGAATAAAACCTCTACACCAAAAAAATCCAAAGTATCAAAATATATAATTATACATGTATCAATGTTAAAATCTTACATACACATCAACTATTTATGTAGTGGAACTTGCCTTCTTTTCTATTTTTTAGTTCCAACCTTTTTACAGTTAGGTATTGAGTTCTCATGTACAAACATATACATAATTAAACTTCACAATTTAGCTAGACTTTTATTTTTCCCTTATTGTTTCAGTTCTAATTATATCCTGATTAAACGCATCTGGTCCGTGAAAAGCAGACCTACACACAGCACCACAAAAATACGCAAAAATACGCAATAAAAACCCCAAATAGGAGCGCAAAGGTATCACACTCCGTGGTATTGAAACGCAGGCATCGACCAAGAATCCAGAATCCAGGATTGCAATTCGTAGCCACATGAGCACACACTTGCTTTATCTTCTAATACCATGCACACATCTTCACATGCACTGACAAACCATCCCTTCCCATGCCCTGTGCCACAAACCCCACTGACCCCAATCACGAGTAATCGTGAGACACTCGGCAATTCCCGCGACCTCACGATCCCATCGCCGCTATTCACCTTGCCTCATCGCAGACCCGGCACAACGCCTGCAGGCTTCACCATGCATCGCCGCTTTTTTGTCTAGACCCGGCGATTCAGCATCGAGATCACGATCCATCGCCGCTTCTGCCTGGCGTCATTCGAGAACACAGAACGTCCCCCTTTTACTTTCTTTTCACAACCGATGCGAGGTGTGGACAAAACCACACAAACACAAAAACGCGAACTCCAAAATCGATCGGGTTCGGAAGATCGAAGGCGGTGGTCCCTGGGCGCAGACCGAGACTCGGAGGCGACCGACGCAATGCGCAGGCGCGCTCATAGGGCGAGAGGAAGCAATGTCACGGTTACCGGGTCGCCGTGGGTCGCGCGGGCGAATGGGGAGATTGTCCTGGGAATTGAGCCATCCAATATCCAGTGGTGTGGATTGGCCTACGATCCGACTCTGGCCAATGGCGTGCTCGGGTGACGCACGGGTTCCCCGCACCCGGCCCGCCCCGACGCGAGCTAGACGGATATTTGAGTCGAGGAAGTGTTCGCCCGTAGATCATTTGTCCATACCCCTCGTTTCTAGACAATCTGTGAGTGTGTGATTCCTTCCTTCCTTTGTAGCTATGGCCACTACTGCTGTGCCCGCGATGGTGATAGCTTCGACTGTCGTTCCTTCCACCTCAATGAGATCGTCTTTCTCTGGAGCAGCTGTGCAGGGACTGCCTGCCTTGAAGATGAACCTCGCCGCCCGCCCCTTGACTGTCACCGCCAGCACTAAGAAGATCAAGGTTGCGCAGCCATTGGGTGAGTGCGGAGCTGTGTGATGGATGGGCTTTTTTGAGTATACGGTGTGTGCGTTGGATACAGATGGCGGTAGTTAGAGAGACATGGCATCGGTATGAGTAGAATTGGGTTCCCAGACGCTTGCCCGTGTACGCACTCTCGGTCATACTTCCAGCTAGTGTGACTTGGAGAAGGAAGATGACAGTGTGGAACGACTGGTAGAGGGGAAATTCTCAGGTGTGGGGCTAAGTTACTTCCCGTGTGGCAGGTCCTTCTGGAGACTTCAAGAGCAAGAAGGGTGTTGATGCCGGTGGCCGAGTGCTTAAGGGCAAGGGTGTGTACCAATTCGTCGACAAGTACGGTGCCAACGTCGATGGATACAGTCCTATCTACGCTAAGGAGGAGTGGAGCAAGAGTGGTGACTCCTACGCCGGAGGTGAGTCCATCGCCTAATCTCCGGAGCCCTTTTGTGAAAGAGTATTGAGAATTCTTGCTTTGGGATTTTTCATTACAGTCAAAAGCTCAGGCGATATGTTCTGCTATTATGTCTTGGTGCCTCCGAAATGGGTTCCACATGCGGTGTGCTTGATCTCCCCCATGGATGCTACGTATTGTACAGTGTTATTATAGAAATAACCGAACTGAGAAGGAGATGCCGTCTTATTGATGCGTTCCTCAGCGTTTCCAATTCAAATCGTTACTGAGGAGGTGTTCTACTATGCAGGAACTCCCGCTCTTGCCATCTGGGCTCTTCTTTTGGGTGGACTTTTGGTTGGCGGTGCTCTTCTCGTATACAACACCTCTGCACTGAGCGGCTAGACTTGTATACTCTCCGTCTCGCAAATGTACATTACTAAATATTACTAATTTGAGTGAGCATTGCTCCGCCATGAAAGAACTTGTGCATTATTTATGAAGTTGACGTTTGGTTCTGGTTGATTACTTCAATTACTGAGCTCTGCCGCTATTTGCGTTGTACATTTCTTACCTCACTCCCGTCCTTTTTTAATCTGGTTTGCCTTCGATATGATGCATTTGAACTGTATTCTGTGATATAACTTGAAACATTATTCTTTTGAATTTGTCGGAAAAAACGGGTAAACATACCAATCAAACTCATGATACACCACCATCAAATAACACGCATTCTACTTTTATCACCTGTACTAATAAGAATGGAGAAGATATATCATCATATCTAATGATGAATAGAACGATAAGATGATACATTTGTGCTTCTACATTAACAAATTTTTATAAACATAAATCCAATGAGAATAATTTGTAGAGCAAAATAAAGTTCTATGATACTCAGAAATGATAAATAGAAGTCAACCAATGGTAATTGCTCACGCGATATGTACCAGACAAATAAGCCCCGTAGTTTAAGTAGATCTGACTTCTACCAATATCACTAAAATGACAATACATTTTGTAACTAAATACTTGTTTGTCTGACTAGAAGACCTACAGTTTTCTTTCTCTAAAATAGCCTTGTATTCTGAATCATTTAAGAACAAAATAATTGAGTTGACTGATAACAATACAAAATCCGAATGTGAAAAGTTCTGCAAATGTATCTACAATATTGTCGATTGTTGATTATTGTAATATTCTGTTCATGATTTCTCACCAACATTGACGATGTTTGTTATTTCTATGAAAATTGCTACTTCAACATGTAAAAGTTTTGAAGAGTTATGATCGATTTCAAATATGTTTCACTGAATACATAGACTTGTTGGGTACATATGGATGTGTAAGAAACCATTTTGTTTTTTTTCTTTGTTTTTCTTTTTTTCTTTTTTTCTTTTTTTCTTTTTTTTTACATGAAGAAAGATCATTTGGGATATGGCTCAAAAGCATACAAACTTTTATTTCTGTGTGTTGCTACAATTTATGTTTCCAAGTACATATTTACATTTCAGGAAGGCAGTAAAGAGACATAGTTAAGATGAGAATGCAATGAGACAACGACTGAAAATCAACTCTTGCAAGCTTCTCTTTCTTCATTCGAGTTAACCTGCAAGTTAGCGTACGTATCACCAAGACTTGTAGATTTTACGGAAAATTTCAAGTTTGGACCGTTTACAAAGAAAAAACAGCAGTACTTCGGACGAAAGAGTAGCAGAAAACTCAATATCATCACGCCATGCAAAAAAATAGTATAGCGCGAAAACAATGTAGGCAACTGTGACAGCTGCAATTGTCTTTCCTGACCCACATCATGGGCCTCGCTTCCAATCCATACAAATCCGAGATCACATGTGAGATTTTATTCCGATGGCCCACCGAGGGGCTACAAGGTTACTAACCGGCAATGATGAAATGCTTCCTAACGACCATCGCCTGATCACCTCACTGGTCAAGAAATAAATTTACCTAAACAAGATCGGTGCTGAACTCACAGTGAAAATCATTCAATGAGGACTCACATGAGCATGGAAAGTGAAAATAACGATGAGTGACATGTGTTTTATCACATCAAGTGTGGCTTCTCAGTGAAATACAACAGTGCCCAAAATTCCCATCAATTTTTTTTCTTTTCCGGATAGATAGCCAGTAACGAATGGGATCACACACCTAACTCAAAGTAGGCCTGCATCAAGCACAGATCCTATATACCTACGATCTCTTGACTACATCAGAAACCCAGGACTGTATAATGGCAAATCGCAGATAGGAAGGTCAAGACGCAACTGCCTTGACAGTGTTTGTATTTAATAGTCGACGAATCGGTTTCAAATGTACAAAACAAAATTACACCATAACTACTTTTAACCGCTCAGTGCAGATGTGTTGTAAACAAGCAAGGCTCCAGTGAGGAGAAGTCCGCCCAAAAGAAGAGCCCAGATGGCTAGAGCAGGGGTTCCTGCACGTTACACGACGATCGCTTGTATAAACAACAGAAACAACAGCGACACAATTCTCATTTAATCAGCATAAAGAGCAACAGCGGCCAGATCAATCGAACAAAGTGTACGATACAGTCCAAGGCAGATCGCCATGGAACAACTCTTTCAGCACGATCAAGGCAGTTACTGCAAGGCACCCACTAACCTCCGGCGTACGAGTCACCTCCCTGACTCCACTCATCCCTAGCGTAGATAGGGCTGTACCCATCGACGTTAGCACCATACTTGTCTACGAATTGGTACACACCCTTGCCCTTGAGAACTCGGCCACCAGCATCAACACCCTTCTTCTTTAAGTCTCCAGATGGCCCTGCACAAACACACCTAATCACCTTAACTCCACAACTCAAACACACAGCGATCGCCGACCACATACCCCAACATCCGTCATCATCCATCCTGCAGTTACAAGCATCTCACTGATTCCAACACAGGAAGCTACTTATCAAGCAATTCCAAACGAAACAGAGAGAAATCAGGAGGTGAATCAACTCACCCAGTGGTTGAGAAACCTTGATCTTCTTCGTGCTAGCAGTGACGATCAAGGAGCGGGAGGTTCTGGAGAGGCTGAGGGGGGTTACTCCCTGCACAGCAACGCCGGAGAAAGACGACCTCGCGACGGCGGAGGGCACCACAGAAGCAGCGGTCATGGTAACATAAACAGCGGTAGCTGCCATTGCTGTTGCTGCTGCGATGGATGCCAAGTGCACGATTTTTCTTCGAGATAAAATTAGCGCGGTGGGTGGGGTTCTTGCAACACGCAGTGCGAGCGTGAGCTTGTATGCCGCCCGATGGGTGGGCAGCCATTGGACGGGGCGGGATTCCGAAGCTCTCCGCCATTAGAACCGCTTCGCGCTCCACCTCCGCAATCCATATCCGGCCAAGGGCATGTTCACACCGACTCCCTCATCGGAATCGGACTTTTCATCTGGTTGGATAATGCGTTGTGTTGATGGTATTATCGGTAATTTTGCGTTCTAAGAGGTTAATCTAATTTGGGTTTTTTTCTTTTCTTTTCTGATGGAAATATGTTTTGGTGAGAAAATTACGATTGCATTCACAGGTGGCAATGTACTTTCCTGGAAAGCTTGCCACTTTATCTAATACAGTTGACACTGGTCAGGTAATTGTGTGTTATCCTAAAAGATGGATGTCCATTTAGTCACCGAAAATAATATTTTTCAGTAAGAGGACTTTCTTTTCAAATGAAAATAAGGTGTAGCCAAAAGCCTCAAACAGATAGGAAAAAAATTACTGTAAGGGGATTATTTTTAATAAGAAGAACAGTTGAATTTGCAGTTTCAGTTCTGTTAATAGTCAACTCTCATGGAGTGCCATACATCATATTGTTCCTAACAAAATCATGTCAAAAGTAAGGTATGAATAAAAAGTTGAACATATAGGAGAACAATTAACGATTTCGAAGCTAAACACTTACATTTATAACTGTTTACTTTTAAAATTTTGAGAGGAAAAATAAGATTTTGATAACAAGTCAGGTTGGTAATATTTACATGTCAAAAATTCAAAACAAGTTGATTAAGAAAAATGTGTACTAAAATAGAAACCTGATAGGCATCTAATAAAATCATATTTTTTTCTAACCACCTAGTCAAATTGATTGAAGAGGAATATCACGTGTTTTGATATTTTCTAAAAGTGTTTCTATATATATATATATATATATATATATATGTATGATGCATGAATAAAATTTAAAGTAAAAACACAAGACATTGACTGTGAACTTCAAACTCATGTCCCAATTCTATCAAACTTTAAACCAGATGTGTTTAATGTAAAGCCAAAAAAACTCATGAATGACATTGTTTAATTATCTTTGTGTGCATGTTACAATCAATTTTAACATTAGATGTAGCTGATGATGTGGCACATTGTAAAGACAAAACATATGGTTCTGTGATCTGAAATCTGCATACACTTGCTAACAGGGTGGAAGATGTACCATTTCGTTGAAAAGTGGCATTCCAAATCCAAATGAACTATGATCATCACTGCAGTTGCAGAAGTTGGCAACCACAGTAAGAAATATGTACTTACGCGCTAGACATCTTTCATATGATTGACACTCTTCTCAAAAAGCATTATTGAAGTTCATTCATACGTATGCAAGGATCGCAGCTCTCAGTGATTAAGTGTGGCAGAAATCTTTTGTATACATCACAAGAAAAATGTTCAAGAGATTTGGCAGGACACAATTTTTTTGAGATCTGTATATCACAATTGGGTGGGGTACTGTCTCCGCATCATCTTCCTGAGGTGCACACAACTTGGAAATGTATCGAGAAGATTGAGGCGGACATTGATTATCATGCATAAAACAAGCATTACGAGATAATTATAATTCAGATATTGATCATTCAATAGTGATCAGCTTCCATGGTAATAAATGCTAGGACAAGTCAATAGAAGATTGAGTTTAGAAAAGGGTTCAGCAAACTGTTTCGGGGCAAAGTGTAGGACTAACATCGGAGATAAGGCGAGAGAAAGCAGAGCGTGTCAGAATTGGAACTATATCGCAAATAAATAGAAGCGGAGGCGAGCTTGCAAGAAAGTCTTGTGTGAGAAGAAAACTTGTTTTGCCTGTAATAAAACAATAACAGTTTACAATGTGTTGCCTCAGCAAAACTATCGACAAATCTATTTCACGGGGTAGGGGAGGTTGAGGACATAGAGCAATATATAGGCCCAGGCCACGCCCGACAGACCACCGAAGAACCATCCTCCGGTGAAGCTGGCCCATCCCTCAGCAGTCTGCAGCTTGTCAGCATCCTTTTGCCTTCCTGTGAGGGTTAGGCTGGGCGCCTTGGAAGGCTCACCTTCCTTGAAGGAAGCAATGCCGTAGATCGTCAGGCACATGGTGAGGATAGTAACGAGACCGGCAGCGGCGAGACTTCCTGCCTCGCCCCTAACAGCGGAGTTCCTCAACGGTCCAGTGAGCACAAAAGGACCCACCAAAAGGTACCCGTGGGCGAGTCCGATCTCGACACCCCTCAACAAGGGAGCAACAGCGGTGCGGTAAGCGGGCAGGTTAGAGAGATACCAGGCAATCAGGGGGCTGCTAGTCACGGGCGTCTCGAATCCACCGATGAAGGGGTCGCCGTTGAGGGGCTCGATGACCTGGTACTTCTCGGCTCCAGCTCGCACCGTCAAGTTCTTCGCCTGCAATGCGTGCACTGGCGCCGCGGTAGCACGGAGGCCATTCACGTTACCCAGGAATGTCCTGGAGCTCACGGCGCCGGTGGACTTGGTTACACGCTGCGCGCGCTCCAGGGCAAGCAGGCCCCCAGCCCGGGTCATGGAAGTCGCCGCCATCGCTAAGACAATCCTCACGAACCTGTTTCTCGTTTACAATGTACTGAATCAGTAGTGAAACAACGCCGATATCGAGGGGCGAAATGCTCTAGTGCTTGTAGAGAATGGAGATGGCGGGCCTGCTGCGGATTGCACTGCGCAATTGCGATTGCGATTACAATGGGTGGGGTTTCACTCAAACCGATAAGGTGAGTCCCACGTGGCGGCCTCTGGTAGATGGAGAGGCATTCGTCTCGATAGCCTTGACGCCGTCTGCCGCGGACGGCCGCGGGGAGGGCCGTCGCGGCACTTGGTGTCCACGGTAGCGGGTGCCCAGTACTCGTCCAATGGAGTGGCGCGGATCTTATTACGTGGATTGGGCTGCATCTTCTCTGATTCGTCGCTTACTTTCTTCTGTTTTTTTAGATTGGAAAATTTTATTGTGCTTGTATGTCATGTGATGTGTTTTGTACTAAAACTCTGTTTGTTTGCTAATGTATTTTCACACGGACCTACTTTCGAACACTCACAATTTATTGAAAAACTACATTCTTTAGAAAAATGATGATTTGTATATATGTATATACTAGTGGAAACTCGTGCCATTGGCCATTGAAAAGGTATAAAAGTTTAATTTGCAGTTGCTAAGTCAAAATTTGACCAGAAGAAATGCTGATCAAGAAAAAAACAGAATGTATATGCATAACAATGGAACAATTTATGTCTCCAAAGTTGCGTTATTGCTTCACTTTTGATGAAATGTAGCCAACCAAAGGTGTTTTTGTGTCCTCTTGTTTATCCTGTTGGTTTATCTCCCCATGAATTATTTTATATAAGACAATCAAGCAGGTTCTCACAAATAAAAACTTTGTAAGTAATTTAAAAAAATTAAATTCTTGATGACACCAAATGTACTTGTTGAATGACCAAATCTACTTGCAGCACAAATCTTTAGGGATTATATTGTGGTTGATGGTTATTTTCTTAAAAACCTTTGTAAGAATAATAATAATAATAATAATAATAATAATTATCCATTATGGTGTACATATCTTTATTTACTATCTTAACTTAGAATCAAATAAATCTAAGATGAAGGGTATTCAGCTCTCTTTGCACGGTCAGGCAACCAAAAATACTAATTTTTTTGTTGTTTCCTCTTTATAATATATTACAAAGATTCATAAATAATATTGCAATTTCTATAATTATTCCAATAAACATAAGATTGAATATTAGTTATTTAATTTTTAACATGATCATTCTAATAAAGGAAATTCTACTTATTGGAATTAATATTAATTCAATGAATACAAACATTATTCCATTGATGGACTTTCAACATTTATATTCAATATTGCATATTGTTCACAAATCATTTCTGAATATTTACAATATTTGTTATGTTAATAATTGTAATGTTCACAGGTTCGCGTTTAAACACTGCCTAGCTTAACAACTCAACAAAATAGGTCAACCTCAGATCACAGACTTACTAATGCACAGGAGAAGGATATGTTAGATTGAACTTATAAAGAGCAAACTAAACAGACCCAAACTCTCCTCAACAACTTCGATTTCGTCTTCAATCATGTGTCATGATAGGCAATGCTGTTCCTTGCAAAACAATGGAGTTTTAAACGTAGAAGATCAGCACAACTACGACCTCTAAATTCGATTCTCCCTCCAAGCTTGGAAAAGGCAAGGAATCCGCAAAAAGGATTTCAAACAGTCAAGGAGCAAGGTGCATAATTAAGGGTGACCACCACTTCTCCTCAATTTAACCTGAACAGGTGATGCGGTTCCTGGCCTGGTGGTGTACATGAGCTGCTATCGACTTTCGATCAGTGGTGACCCTGTCTACCGCCAAAAGAAAGGGATCCAGAAGCTATGTTCTCCGAATGGTGGTAACTCCAGAGCAAAGAACAATGTCAAGCTCTTGAGAAATGGCTACGTGTCCGTGTGTGAATTGGAGAAAAATTCAAGACTTTTGGATGGCTCCAAATTTTTCGTATGCAATATCGTTTGTACTCATTCCTGACCTGCGGCATCAATGACACAGCATGTGCTCGCGTTTGGGATCAGATCTAGCTACTTCCAGTTCAAAGAGCTCTCTTACTGAATGTCTTCGAGAATCCGAACCCAAGTCATCGTCTTCCTCGTCCTGGACCTGGTCCTCAGGGTTGCACATCATTGTTCCATACGGTTCGTCAGCTGTATACTGCTCTCCCTCGTCTGTCTCCGCGGTCGCTGCAGATTGCCAGTGCTTCGCATTGCTGCTCTTCACCATAGCTCTGTGATCAGGCCAATCTGCTGTGGACTCAGAACGAAGAGTTTGCAGACAGGAAGAGTGGCATCGAGTTTACTTTTCAGAGCAAATATAGTTTTAGAACACTGCTGGTGCGTCGTCGCTCGAATCTTTCCACGGCGGGCACCACTCATCGGGGTGGCGATCGATGTGCTTCAGCCCCTGCCGGACTGGAACCCTGTGCGGAATTGATGGCATGGACTGCGAGATGCTGGATCAAAAATTTGGTTGCCATTTGCCTTGGTGAGACAGCGGTGGCACAGATTTCTTCCCTGTCTTGCGAACTTGACGGTGAGGGCATTCCAGCGCTTGCTGTAATTCCAGTTCCGGGTTGGGGTCTCGAAATAGTGGCTGCCACTCGCCGTCGATTTTATTGAAAATGTCGGGGCCCTTCTTAGGATATCGCATTATGGATGTGCTTCCTCCTTTCGGTATTAGCGGCGCTAAGGGTGGAAGTCTTGTTGCGTTGTGGCGTCCATGAACTTCCATTGTGTGAAAGCGCAGATGTTCACAATCTCGACGATGCCTTTTTCTAGCCGTCAAAAGAGTAAGAAGATCGAAACCGTCGCAAAATACATGCAAACTTCGAAAATGTGCACGGACAGCTCCACTACACAATTTTGCAGTCCACCACTAAGTGGGGAGCGTGAAGCAGAGTGGAAACACTTGTCACAATGTTATAACAGCTTGTTATACTCTCCCGGAAAACACTTGTTACATTGCTCACAATGTGAAAATCCATCTTGAAATTACCATCACGTGAAATGCAAACATCAACGAAATGATAACGATCATTGCCACATGAATGCATTCCTCGAAATTTATCTAGCAGAAACATAATGCTGATTTATACTTTTTCCAGGCCGAGTATAGAATTACAAAACAAAAATAAACGCATTCATTGAGAGGTCAGTTGTGCACCTCGCAAATTTGATATTGCTTTTTATCTATCATTTTGTTTTACTTTAAATTCTTCTTTTCATTATTATAATTATTATATAAAAGAAATCCATGACAAGAGCCTGAGTTACTTTGAGATTTCCAATTGTAATTGTCTATAATTGTCTATTATAATGAAATATTTCAATTGAGACATTTTCATGTGGAATGGTCAAGTTTCAATTTAGGTGGAAATAGCTTATTTACATTAAATACATTAGCACATGAAGCATCACATTAATGATCTAAAAATAATCTACATGTAAAAAGTGTAAAAAAAATCATAAGAAAGTTCAATAATTTATATTGTTGTAAAAAAAAAAATAGTACCCTTGTCATGGATTTCTTTTATGTGTATGTTCATTTGTTAATGTTTTGTTATGTTTACTTTAATATCTTAATCTTTACTTGATGCTTGTCATGAATAAGAAGTAGCTAAATTTGTTCAAAATAATTAATGCATTGATTCAACAACTTTTTGCAAAACATTTGTATTTAAATGTATTAAGAAGACAATTAAATAATTGTGTATCTTGACTACATATGTTATAAATATATAGATATTGATATTTATATCCAATACATTTAATGATATTTTAATTATAGATATTTTAATTTTTTTATGTTTTTACTAATATTGAATTATTATTTTGTGTTTTTATCCACATGTTTTTTGTGTTCGCTTCAACAAAGCAAACACAGCAGAAGTGCCCGATGACGAGAAGCTCCAGGGGATTTTCCATTCACGATTAAATTTGCACACCCACTTCCGAGTTTTGTTAAAACACAAGTGGGATGAATGCCTTTTTCTTTGTTTCTCAAGGCTTCTTTCTCACTCTTGGACTCGGTGTGCAATTCGATGGATGAGGGTCACGGCTCTCATCCTCACCCCGTTTTTTCAGAGTAGTGCAGGAGCCCTCGTCTTGTTCGAAAGATATCCGTGATATCGTTCCGTTTCGTGTGTACTGAAGGAATTGTGAATTCTACCATAGTGATGGAAATTGGGTGCGAGTCTACCGTAGAATTAGTGCTGGTGTTGTAGTGGAGAGTGGTGTTTGAGTGCGTGAAGGAGGGCAGAGATGGGTGGTTTGACATGGGCAGCTCAGCAGCTGCAGGGAGGATTACGGTCGTCATTGTGCCACTGCATTTCTGTCGCAGAAACTCTTCCACAACAACGCCAGTCTACAGGTATTGCTGCTTGGGTTTGATACCTTGCATGCTTTCGTCTCTGCCATTGGGAACTGCTGTGTGCCATTGAGGAACTGAGGAGGAGCCTGTGAGCACTTCGTGAACTCGCCCGTGTGAGTCTTGCAAAATTGATAGCAGAATGTATCTGAAGCTGACATTCTCTTTCCATTTTCAAGCGTAGTTTATGAGCTTTGAATTTTCCTAGTGCTCCCTTATCCGAAACATCGCTATCAATTCTGCTATGAAATTTGCGAGGGGTTTAAGCTTTGGTGGTTTTCCGAGGCTAAGTTTCATCTTATCTCCTAAATGTATTGGATGCAAAAGCCGCTGTAACTACACTCATTTGATCCATCTCATGCTCATCTCAGGTGTCCATAGAATTACGTGTTCATCAGGCAACTATGGCCAAGAAAGAGAAGCGAGAAATTCATCAGAGAAATGGCAAGGGAATTCGCGTGATGTGTCGAGAATTAGGCGAGGGCCTGGTGCCTCCAGGTGGACCCGAATTGAGGACGAGAGATTGGGGAGAGGAAGAGTTGGGAGAAGAGGGGACGTTGATTTTGACAAGAGGGAAGATCGTCGAGCTTACATACCAAGGACCGCGACCAATATATCGCCTCATCGCGCAGGTATTTTGGAAAAATACGTTGACATGCTTTTGGAATGTTCCCTTGAAATTGCGATGGTAGCATCGTGTAGAATCGCTGCTCTCATTATTCTCACAACTCCGTTGCCTTAAACCCTTCATTACTGTTTTGGGGAGTGATAAAGGAACTGGGCATGCTGTACCCTACTGTGTGTGGCAGTGGTGGTGGTTCGGCTTATGCGAATAGAAGAGGGCGGGGCATTTGCGGATGTATTAAGTGGCGAGGGCGATAATTCATGGGAAGATGAGATGGCTTATGTGGGCCGAACTTTAGGTTTCCGAGTCCCCAGCCTGGACCTACGAGAACGAAGATTGGTGCGAGAAGCCTCACACATTTTGTTTTTATCTGTGTTTTCTTTTCGTCTGAGAATACACACAATTTGTGTAACTAATTCTTCTCGAATTGGACGCTTGACGCCTAAAAATTCCAGCCACATGTTTGTAACGTTTCGTATGCTCGAGGATATTTCACTGGGATTATTTTCTTCATAAATTTTCTCTGGGATTATTTCAACCTCGACAGGTTTGGGACCAGCATACAATGAAGTCATTTTTGGGTGACGTTTTGTGATCAGGTAACTGATGAAGTGGCGGGAATAGTGCGTTGGAAAAGATATTTAGATTTTTTGATATTTTCTTTCTTCAAGCAAGACGTTCGAGACTATGACCGTATGGAGCCCCTTCTGCGCCAGGTGTTCATCGTCGTCCTCTCTTCTTACTTTAAATCTAGACATCCTCCATTTGTAGAAATGAAGTGACCTAGTAATCAGCAACCTACTGCATATATAGTGTGGACCCCGTCGAAAACCTAGTGGGCATGGCTTTGCATGGTCATATATATGTCTACAGACTTCTGAAATTGTGGAAGGATTTGCTGCTATTACAGATTCTTCGGGTTGGACTGTACGAGCTTATTAAGCTGGAGATGCCTCCACACGCCGTGTTGAATGAGGCAAGACCTTGGACTCATTGGGGCTAGCCTCTTTTGCTGCTCATAAAAACTCATGCTAAACAATGTAGATGTTGATCATTAGGAATCCTCACGGATCATCCCAGATGTCCTGAAATTCATAATATCGATTTCACAATCTAAGTGCAAATCGCTCTTCACTTGGAATTTATCTAGTTTGCGGGATTTACAGCTTCTGGTTGTAACCATTGATGATGGTTTCTTCACCTTGTGGTAATATCTATAACATAATGTACAGATGCTTCTCCGCTGGGTAATTTATACGGGTGTATCCGCTTGCTAACCTCTTGATGCGATTTGGTTTTTCTTGCCCATGTAATGCAGACTGTGCAGCTTGCCAAAGTGGCCCTCAGAGCCGGTGCAGGCAACCTGGTTAATGGGCTTCTGCGCGATGTTGTCCGTCACCAGGTTTGTTAACAATACAAATAACCTAAAACGTAAGGCTTAGTAATTCTATATTGACCTCGTACGAATTAATTTGCACATGCAAAGAAACTCCATACAGGATTTCTATGCATAATATATAATGCTAGTTGTCATGGCTTTCCTTTCTTCCTAATCAATGTCGCTGAAATCAAATATCATACAAATGTAAGGGTTGGTTGGTTTTATCCTGCAGGATAAAGGGCTGCTTCCAGTTCCTGCTGTGGAAGGGGATCAGCGTTCAAGAGCAAGAGCTTTAGCAACAATTCATTCTCATCCAGTTGTAAGTACCGATCTCAGAATGTGTAGTTTCTTGATTTAGTTTGATTATGGTCTTTCAATTGACCGGCTATTGATTCCCTGGGTGCTCAGTGGATGGTGCGGCTGTGGTTCACACAATTTGGAGAAGACGAAACTGTGCGGCTCATGGAATGCAATAATCAACGACCTAAATTTTCACTCAGGTTTGATACGATTGTAACAACTGCTGCTCTTAAACTGAACGTGAAGGTGTAAGTTTTTAACTTCAGTCGGTTGCAACTTCTCTGCATGGCTTCATTTTTGAATTTTCCTTGAACCTTTGCTTTTGTGCTGGTGTTTCAACAGGGCAAACAGTGCCCGAGGAGTTTCAAAGCAAGAGCTTATTGCAGAATTAGACAAGCTTGAGGTTAGTTGTAATTTCTTCCAGTCTAAAATTTCTGTGGGAATAGACGTGCCTTTCAGTACCGTTGAAACTTGAAATGTCCTTCTTGCTTCGCGGTCTTCAAAATATCTCAGGGAGAGTCTCAATATTCGTGTGTACGAGGAAACAAGGTGTTGCACCACTAGCTGTTCGTGTTCGTGTTGATGTTAGAGATTGCTCTGGTTCTAGACAACGATGAAAACCCAATAACCTTCAAATATAAGTGTAGAAATGGTGTCCTCCTTTGGTCACAGCATTATGTTACGGCCATGTTTTTGTACTAGAATTACAATGGTTAGTTGTGGTGAGGAAGTTGTGCAGGGATAACCATGTGCTGGAGGTGTTACTGACAGATGCCTATGAACCCCATTTTTAAGTAACTTGTGAAAATGTTTTTCCAGGTTTCTTACTCGGAGTCGCCGTACTTGCCTGACTTTGTTAGGCTGTCTGCAGGTATGCAGGTAAAGAACTTCAATCAACATATCATTTTAAATATTTGTTCGTTTTCTTAGTCTTTGAGCGTGATAGACACGTGTTAAATTCTTGTCTAACATGAGCCCTTGTCCCTCAAGCACTGGCAGCACATACATATGATTGTTGAGAGAATTCTGGAGTTCCTATGATTCTCATGCTCATTGGTTACACAGGATGTTTTACGATCAGGTCTTCTCCAGAATGGATGTATTGCAGTTCAAGATGAAAGTGCAGGTGAGTTCTAATTTGCAAGAAGCGTCAGACTGGTTGTTTACCACATGCTCTTTAGGGCTTGGTTCTCTTCGTGGTGTCCAAAAATATTGCTAGATTTTGCAGAGCACATGATGTCTTATGCAACCCTGACATGGGTCAGACTTGATGAACGAAAGTCTCTTTTCATCTTACACTGCAGATTATGATGAAACGCAGTGTTAGGATATCTTTCAAACTGGAAATTAACTTAATTGAATGATTTTCATGAGTAGGACTCGTGGTCTCTGTGATCGATGCACATCCTGGAGATACCATTATTGATTGCTGCGCGGCACCCGGTGGAAAAGCCTTAAATTTAGCTTCTCGACTGAACGGTCAAGGTATGAATCCTACAATCCAAATCATTAACGTATTATCATTGAAATCGTTTTATTAATGTTATTATTATTGTGAATCATGATTTTTTAAATCACAGGAAAATGAAGCGAATAGTACTTCATGCAGGTGCGTATGCAAGAAGGATGTTTTATGATTTGGTAGGTTTGTACAGGCAAGGTCGTAGCTGTTGATGTGAACGAGGGCCGCCTTCGTATACTCTCGGAGGCTGCCGAACAGCAGGGAGTTGGAGATGTTGTTTCACCGTGCCACTACGACCTTCGTGATTATGCGGTGCGTTGCTACTTGAATTTTCCTGTGATCTGTTAAACTGCCCTCTTTCATGCAGCTCAGTTTTTCATAAGTAATCAACAACGATATTTCCTTCATTCCATCTCTTGATGATTGAGGAATGGGTGCAGGCTAAGGCGGCAGGAACTGCTGATCGTGTCTTACTGGACGCTCCTTGCAGTGGTCTCGGTGTGCTGTCCAAGGTTCTTCAGAGCTAAACCTGACGTTTTGAATCATTTGGGGAAATTCATTTCTCAAATTCTATTCGTTTGCTTCAATTTGATGGTTCTTGATCTAAGCCCAGGAGTTGGAGGTGATAACTCGTTTTGCTATTAATATTAGTATCCAAGGCAAGTTATATTAATTCAAGAAGTTTTTTTTTCACAAAATCAACTGGTGTAACCTTGTATTGTATGTTGCTCAGAGGGCTGATTTGCGATGGAGAAGATCGCCTGAAGACGTGAAGCAGTTAACAGAACTACAAGACTCACTCTTGGATGCTGCAGCCTTGTATGGTTTCAATACTTTAATTATTACAATTTGTTATTGCGCACTTTGTGCATATCCTCATGGACTTGTAAGACTGCTACATTTTGGATATTTTCCATTTTTAATTAGGCTTGGGTGGCTTAGTGAATGGGTACTAATTTTCTAGTGAGCAGTTGATACAAGTTGTTTACTTCATTTAGTTTTGACTTGAGTATTTTTTATCAGGTTGGTAAAGCCTGGCGGTGTGCTTGTATATAGCACGTGCTCAATCGAGACCAGCGAAAACTCAGAACGAATCGCTGCTTTCCTTTCAAGGAATCGGGTAAAACACCTCTTTGGAAGGATCATTAAATCAACTGTTTGAATTTGCAGGGTTTGTTGCCATGATGCACATTAAATTTCCTATGGCCGTTGGTTTTTGAAGCGCAACATAATTACATTACATGATCACCTTGAACTTGTGCAGGACTTCGTCTCAGAGAATGTGGAGCCGTTTGTACCAGCCTCTATGGTATCTAAGGAGGGTTTCTTTGTCTCTTTTCCACATAGACATGGTGTGGATGGCGCATTTGCTGCTCGGATGCGCCGATCTTTCGAACCTGCACGGACATTTTAGGCTTTGTGAGGGTTATTGATGAGATCTCACGAAATGACACCGTGGCGCAGTCTCAACTCCATGTCTGTGGCACGTTTGGGCATACCAGGAGAAAAAATCACTATACCAGAAACAGTCCTTCGTAGCATTGGCACCGACTGCAGCCTAGTCTCCTCATCTGGAATAAAGGTCAATTACCGAAGGTAATGCGTTGAAAGTATGATGCATGTACGGATTTTTTTTTCATTTCTGCAGATTTGGGGACGTTGCAGAGGAACTCCCCCTAGAAACCAGAGGAATTTGAGAATGGCTACATCAACTGTGCACGTGTTTCAGAGAATTGATTCAGCGTAGCATTTGTTGCGGTATAATCTACATGTTGTGTGAATGTTGTATACCCTATTGCTTCAGGAAATTGTAGCAACACTTGGAGGCTGACATTTTGGCAGTTACGACACCTGATGGATGGGTTTCAGACAGTTGTCAGACTGGTGGAACCCATTTGAACGTTTGGAAGCATAGCTTAACATTCTTCTCGAAAGCAGAAAAGTCACGGCCTTTTGTAGATGAAACGGAAACCACGGTGTGGCCTTCTACAACTGCCCCTGAATCTTCCTCGGTAACTACAGGTGTCTTGCTGAGAAATATACCTGCGCTTTGTTGATATTATCACTTTTTATGGTTGTCCTGTACCCAAATTGAATTTACAAGGGGTTTTAAGATATTTGAAGCTTCCGGTGCCATGACTATGTTGCATTTTAATAGTTGCACTAATAAAAAAATGAAAGACATTCGTTATAGGACTCAAACCAGCTGTAGGTAACATTTGATTTGGAACATCCGCACATGCATCGCTGTGGCTTCTCAATATAAACACTACAGAAATTCTCACAAAGAGGTCGAGTGGAATTCAGAATTATTCTTACTATATCTCTTCAAGTTAAACAGATGTATACTAAAAAAATAACTTCGAACTTAAAGCTAATCTTGAATTTTTTTAGTTTTTCAATGTTTCTTATTGAATGTTTAAAAATAAATTGTTCGCATGTGTATGCACATACATTCAAAATTACGGACTTGGAAAAACAAATATAATCAATTTATTTGGAATCTACAATCACTAAAATTATACATGCCATATGGATCTTGTTTATTCTACATTGAGATGAAGACCATGATGGTTTAATCTTTCCAATAAATATATATATATATATATAGATACTATCAAATTTCAATTTAGTACGATCTGATAAACAGAATTATTACATACCATGTTTTACAAATTATTGGCCCTTCTTCAATAGGTACTGTTATTTTACGATTTTGTGCTTTTGAATGTCACATATTTATTAATTATGTTGTTGACATAAACACATAATGTCCAATAATAAATACTGTAATTTATAATTGTTTTCAAACAAGAATAGAAATCATGTAAACTTTTGGTTTCACAAACATCAAAATAAAAGGTTAGAGGATAACATTGTCTTGCTACAATAAAAATTGAAAATAAAAATGAAAAATAATATAATATAATATAATATATTACATAATATTTAAGTATAAACAAATTGTATTTATTATCTTTCAAAATTAAATCTGTTAAAATACATAAAAGACACAAATAGATGATTTTAAATTTAAAAAATTATTACATTCAATTTATTGTTGTTACCACTATATGAATTACTTAAAATTAACAAAAGTAAACAATAGTTTTAGAGGTGTTTATCTTGCTTATAAAATATTGTAAAGACTTTGTAAACCAAATTGGATTTACAAGTGTCTTTGGATAGACTTTTGCAAAAGCTTATCTAGATTGGACTTGCAAATAAATATCATCCAACAAATTATCACTCATAGGAGTTGAGTGTAGAATAGAGGATTTACCACTTTTGACTATCTACTTAAAGGCAACAAGTAGAGGATTGGTGGGAGTAGAGTCTATGTTTTGATAAATATTTTTATATTTCTTTGGAAGAAAGTACTTGGATGTCTTCGCTACTAATTAGTCATGAGTTCAATAATATTATGTTACATAGATATTACATCTTTTCATATGTTTATTCATCCAAAAAAATCATATTGTTTTAAGACATGATCTTCTTGAAGTTATCTTCCTTCTTGTTTTAAGACAACTCTCATCAATCTCAAACCTTATATTAACAAATTAAACAAGAATCTTGGAGATCTTTAAACTTGGCCAAACTCTTTGTTTGAATAAACATTGATTTTTTTTTTATTATTATTATTTTCAATTTTAATTAATATATTCTAATGCATAATCTATAAATTATTTGTAATAGCCCTTTACAAATACCATGTTGCTACAAAAAGTTCTCCTAAGAACTTCCTTTTTATAAGAAGTAATTATAATACCATTCCACTACTTGGGTGTTTTTTACAAGGATATTTCCTATAGGAGCGTCTAGTCCTTAAAAAACTTTCATGTGGCTTTCTTATTAACTAGCACATATTAGAGTAAGACTATGACCATCTTTAAACTTGTCAATGTTTTTCTAGTGCTTTATTCTTGCCTAAAAGCTCTTTAGTCTCCTTAAAATTTAGATGTATTTCTACCTTCTTAAAGCTTTAAGTTTTACAAGTACAAAAGATGAAGAACATAATTTTTAAATGTTTCAAATATTATTAATACCATACTACTATTAATTTATTTATTTTTAAACAAAGATATTTTATTGAATAAAACTTTTACTTTTGTACAGTGCAACATTTCAAAAAATATATATGCATGTGGGGGTGTCTATGTATAATTTTGTGTGTACACATCTACACATGCATGTACAAGTGCAAAAACAACTTAAAGCTAACAATGCTAGCCACACAATCATGATGAATACCAATAGTTTAATTACCTTTGCAGTATGAAAAGTGTGTCTCTTTTTATATGAAAAAAGAAAGACTAAGCTTTCTGGTAAGGCTTCGAGTTCTTTTACACCCAACAACTTCTACCACGCTGGCACTTTCACATGACGTGGCATCGAGAAATGCCAGGTCATTCTGCAACGCGTGAGATTCTCGAAGCCGCGATCAACCGCCGTCTACCGCGCGACGACGGCAAGGGCCCCGACGATCTGACGTGAGCATCAGCCGCCAAAATACCCCCCCCCCTCCCCCCCCCCGAGGAGGAACTCGCCATCAGCAAACCCGGGAAATCAATCATACGTGGCTAAACGACGACACCCTATTCTTACTAAAATTAAAAGGTTTCCAGGAATGTCCAAAATATCACTACAGACTGCCATTACGGCGTATAGATATACGCTTGTGCCGGCAGGGGGGCCCATGCCCGCGCTACTCGGGCCCCATCCAAACTCGGAGAAACGGGACGGGGGGTAGTTTTGGGGGACTCTTCGCCACATGAACCTGTCGATGATCATCGTTCCGATTCTACTAACATTCCCCGTCATTACTGCACCCGATGTTTCGGGCTCTACCCTGCCCGTCTTCTTCTTCTTCTGCTGCTGTTTTTTGTCGTTTTTGTTTTCTAGTTTTTCAATGTCTGTAAGCTAATATTTTTTCTTTCTAATTTCTTTTCTCGGTGGCGTGCTTTGCTGCATCAGCATAGCTGGCCCATGTTGTGTCGGGTGCTCTTGCTGCGCTTTGGCTTGCTTGCCCGCGTTCTGCATGCGGTGGTTGTTGTCTTGAGCCAGTGGGTACGTCACACTGGTTTGTGTGGTTGTGTGAGTGTGTTTGTGCAGTGTTTTGCGTCATTTGGATCCGGGATTGAAGTGTTTTTGGCTGCTTTGCTATGTTGCTAGCTCGGAGTCTTTGTTTGCGACTAGGGAGCTGGAGCGTGGATAACTGCGAGAATCCTGGACGTGGGGTGTGGTGAGGGTTGAGCCTGTCGAGTTTTTTTTTTTTTTTTTTTTTTTTTTTTTTTGTGTCGGCGCTGGGTAGTACGTGGGGGTTTTCCTTTTGTGCGTCTTTTTGTCGTTGGAATGAATCTCTCGGTGCGCCACTCTGATTTTACAGGTCATTACATGGTGGTGAGCTGGATGAGGAAGGTTGATATGTAGAGATTGGTAGGAGCCGTAGAAAGTAGTGCAACCAGTGCCGTGTAGCTAACGGAGAAAGAGGTGCTGGATTTCGATCATGAAATGGACAACTCTCAGAAGTGGCGGAGATCTCAAAGCAAACCTGCGACTTAGGGCAGCACTTGTTCTCACTAGGATTGATTACAGAGAGGTGATGTTCAGCGACGAGATTCCTAATGGAGATTCTGACAGCTTGAAGGCTAAGAAGGCAGCCTTTACCTTTAGATTTGGTCTGGTCCTGAAGCCAACCTTGGACTATCCGAATCCAACTTGTAAATTCTGAGTTGAGGCCACCGTAATGACGCGGCAGGAGTCGCCGAAGTCGATATGGCCATCCAACAGCAGCCTATTGCTGAGGATTCTAGTGCTTCAGTATGTGTTCATGCTTACCTGGGAAGTAGGGAACGCTGCGTGTGTGCCAGAGAAAGGGTGCGACGCTGCCTACGCCTTCTACCGCACGCAGGTGGGCGATACCTTGGTAAAAATTGGAACTCTATTTCAAACCACAAATGAAAGGATTGGAGCTGTCAACCCCGTCATCACAGATCTAAATTTCATCGACCAGAACGTTCCATTGTACATTCCCTTCAGATGCGATTGCATCAACGACCAACTGCTGCAAAAGTTTCAGTATCAAGTATTCTTCTTCAACATTTCTATTCCCCCATGACCTCATTTACTATTGCACACAAGCCACAAGAACTGAGTTTTCAGACTATAATGCAATGATAACCTACAAGCTCAGTGTGCAATCCACATCCAATTGCAGATTCTTTTTCTCCTGATCGTCAACTTTGTTAAAATTTTAGGGTTCTACGTTCGCTTCAATTGAAATGGGTGCTTTGATTGATTGGTATTGTGATTGGTTTCAGGTCCAAGCGACCGATACTATCGAAAATATCACTGCCATTGTGTACGAGAATCTTACTCAATTGAATTGGGTCACGGGGTTGAACTCTATTTCAGATCCGAATTACGTAGAGACTGATAGATTCTTGGTAATTCCAGTGAACTGTTCGTGTGGTAACCCAACTGTGAGTTCAGATTATGGTCTTTTCCTTACATATCCTGTGGTGGCTGGAACGGGTGGCAACCTGAGCGGCATTGCTTCAGAATTCAACGCAAGTGAGGATCTTGTGAGAAAGTTAAATCCCAACGTTGTCTGGGAAAATTCACAGCCTACGCAGTATGCTTTCATTCCGGTGAGAGGTACAGGATCAATCTTTCTTGATCGGTCTGAATGAGGTCCTCAGCATTGCCCTAATATTTGTCACGGGTCAGTATGATGCACTTAACTTTTTATGTAGACATGCGTCTGCCACTAATGAGGTGATTCTGGGGTCATGTACAGACACAAGTGGCAAGTATCCTGCGTACAATGGGTGAGTTTGAATTAACCCTCTGACGAGATTTATTATAAGCATTTGTAAATTCTGAAGGAGTATTTTGGTTTTAAGATGTTGTCATGGCAGTCCTGCAGGTTGCCGTGTAATGCAAATGGAAACCAGCTCATGACTATATTTGAATGCCTATGTGTGTGTTTGGCGTGTGTTGCAGTGGCACAAGTGAGTGGCGCTCCCCAGACGTCCCGTCTAAACCTTAGTTTGTAAATAGCTTCCATCTTACTGGAAAACTTTCTTTGCGAGGAAGTCATCAGCACAAATTGAAGATAAAGAATTTCATTTCACTAATAATTGTAATTAGCAGTACGACTAGGACTCACGTTCTGAGATACGTTGCATGTCGCTTTCTGTTGAGCAGTGACTTACCCACACATCTTTGGAATGCTAGTTAAAGCAGGGAAATCTTCCAGCACGGCCTTAATAATAGGAGTTGCGGTCGGAGGAGTAGCTCTTATAATCATTATTTTGGCACTGCTTTACTGTTTCTGCATCTACCAACCAATGAAACGGCAAAAGAAGCTGAAACTTGGAGATCCATTTATCAGAAGTGACGGGAATTATTCCGGATCCGCTAGTGAGCAGATCCATTCAAGTCAGTATCACTGCCTAACATAATTCTCATGCACATTCTTGTACTTCAGCTTAATTTTCGTTAATTGCAACTCTTCCTAATCTGGTCACCAGAATTACTTAACTTGGAACTTGGATATTTCCACAGCTTCGTCGAATCCAGGAAGTGCTTCCTTCATCCCCAAAGTCTTAGCAGATTACACCGTAGACAAGTCAGTGGAGTTTACGTATGAGGAGCTAGCCAAGGCCACTGACAATTTCAGCGTGGCTAATAAGATTGGACAAGGTGGATTCGCATCGGTGTACTATGGAGTCATACGAGGACAGGTCATCCACATTATCTCTCATCTGTCCTGGTCAACTTTCGTCCCTCGTATAATTTGTACTTGTTGTGGAGGTTGTTCTAAGTATTTTTTAAAAAATCGCCATCGTCATCATCACCATTACTATTAATATGAATTTGTTGATTTGGTTTTATTATTATTTTTTAAGAATCGACTTCCTCTCGTGTTTGTTATATAGCTTATCGTGCTCATGGGCTGCACAGAAATTGGCCATCAAGATGATGAACCTACAAGCAACCAGGGAGTTTATGGCTGAGCTCCAAGTTTTAACCCATGTTCACCACACGAATTTGGTAATCATCCTTCCTTTACCACTGATGATTCTGCAGATGCCATAGCTAGCCGTTTATGTAAACTAACCATTAAAATTCATCCCAGTGTACCTCGTGACGTTTCGTATTTTTCAAAATCCCCAGTGGCAGAGGATGTTGCTAGAATCACCAATGTTTGCCTTCAAGATTTTCCTTATCGCTCTTTTCAATGGGTTGTTTCAGGTTCAACTGATCGGTTACTGTACCACAGACTATTTATTTTTGATATACGAATTTTTGGAGAACGGAACTTTAGACCAACATTTACACTCCGCAAGAGGTACGGTTATGTCGTAGACCTGTTCCTCGGGCTTTCAGAAATCCTGAGAAACAAGGACGTACATATTAAGAGGTCATGTACAGTGTATTTTGGACTCTACCGTTTATTTGTCTTACATTACTTGTGGTATGGTCCAATTCGTACAGCTGCCAGAGAACCACTATCTTGGTCATCTAGAGTGCAAGTTGCATTAGATGCTGCACGAGGATTGGAGTACATTCATGAGCACACCAAGCCAACTTACATTCACCGGGATATTAAGTCTGCTAACATACTCCTTGACAAGCAATTCCATGCAAAGGTACTTGTGCTAATCTCTTGCATTTGATTGCGTACTTGTTACTCTCATTTGAAGTTCGCTTTGTTCTCCAGCCGCACTTTTTTGGTTATTAAAGTCTTTTTAAAGTGATACTAACCTTGGTGCTCGATTGTGTGTAGGTCGCAGATTTTGGTCTCACGAAACTCACTGAAACAAGAGCTGTAGGATCAGATGCAGTGACTCAATCTACTAGAGTGGTTGGTACCTGGGGTTACATGTCTCCAGAGTAAGTCAATCAACAATTTGCCCAATGCTAATCACCATTCTCCCACCTGGTGATGTTGGGTTTGGTCCGTAATAGTGCGCCTTCTCTTTGACGTGACGTTGTAACCTCTATTCTTAACAGATCGTATCTTCTAAGCTTTTTGTTTGTTAATGCATCCACGATTTACAGTATTTATTCAACTTTCTGTTTAGATACGCACGATTTGGAGAGGTGACACCCATGCTCGACGTCTACTCGTTTGGTGTGGTATTGTTCGAGATCTTATCTGGAAGAGAAGCCATTATGCGAGGAGCCTTGACCTTAACCGAAGATTTTTCTTCGAGCAATGCTCGACCGAAAGACGAACAAAGAGCTCTGGTCACTTATGTATGTGCATCACAAACTAGATCACGTTTTTTTTTTTTTTTTTTTTTTTTTTTTTTTTTTTTTTTTTTTTCCTCCTGAGTGTTAATAGAATTTATGTAACCACTAGATATGTGAATATTAACAGCACCGATGTGGGATGCTCTGCAGTTTGACCCTGTGTTGAAATATCCAAACGGGAAGGAGAAATTACCCAGGTTCATGGATCCTTCTCTTGGAGATAATTACCCTTTGGAGGCAGCATGGAAGGTTAATGTTCTCCTGTCTTTTCGTTTACTGCTATATAAAATCCTCGAAGAAAATGTACTCCTCACAAAGCTTTTTGCAGTGACTTCACTAATGTACCTTGTTGTAACGGAATACTTTCAGATGGCGCAATTAGCTGAGGCATGCACGCAAGAGGACCCAACTAGACGACCAAACATGCGGAAGGCAGTGGTAGCACTCATGACTTTGTCATCGTCAACTCAAGATTGGGAGCTCAGCTCTTTTGGCAGACACAGTGGAAGCTCAACGTCATTCAGCGATCAACGGCACTGATTTGTAAGCACACCAGTGTCCACCTGTAACAACATCAAAGCAGATTATTGTAAAAACTAAGACTGAACCCAAAGGGTGATCAATATGCTAGCTGTTCCTAATCTCCTCACCACATGAATCTCTCACTACCTCTGGGCTCTGATCTCATTTACTGAGCTGACAGTTATGAGCATTCAGTTCATCGTTCTCGAATAGACTTGCTACGACAGTTTTCTAGTATTTGCATTTTTTTGGCTATTTTCTACATTCTCTGTACAATGTGAAGATTTCCAGCAATTTCTAGCACAGAATTTTTCTCTGATGGTTTGCTTCAGCGTTTGCTTAGGATTGTTTATTACTACTACTACTACTACTACTACTACTACTAACTTCTGAATAGATTGTCAACAAACTGCAACAGGTGCGTGGAGTGGGTCTTCCTACTTCAAAACCGCCTGAAGTTGATGCCATTGACTGTAACTTGTCTCTTTGCCTGATTTTTAATACAAACACAATCCTGAAGAAATATCACACAATCTGTAGACTGATCTTGTTTATTGTGACAACTTTTGCTTGTTCTAGTTTCTTTTTTGTTGTCTTCTTTGCAGTGTCATTGACCAGTTGTGAAATAGTTTGAGCCCATGTTTATGTATTGAGAATTTCCATTCAACTTCCATCAATATCAGTTGAATTGATTTTTTAAATCTAGAATTAAATTGTCTTGTTGATTTTCTTTGGGTTCGGTGAGTACAAGAGTTTCGAATTAATCTAAAATAAATAAATTGGTAGATTTCAATATATTTATTTTTATTTAGATGAATAAATTATTTTCATAGATAAAAATCATCTACATAGAATTTTATTTATTAATATGACAATGGAATCCCCTGTTTTAAAAAAATTAAGAATATGTCTATCCCATGACCACTGAAAATCAATTTTGATATTAGACACTATGGTGGATGAATATTTCAAATTGATAGTTATTCAAAAGACATCCAAAAAAAATTCCACATGCCCATTTCATTTGGTAGTTTAATTATGATGAAAGAATGCCAAGAAACAAAATTTTAATGCCATAAAGCAATGTCATTAAAGCAACATCAAATACTAATAATAATAATAAAATTGGAACCCTTGACCAAGTTCAAACTTAGATCATCAATTCTACAAAGGTTCATGCTTTACCAAGTGAAGAACCTCTTCATTTTATACTCTTTTGTTGAAATATACACATATTATGAACAAAAGAACAAATTTTGTTGCCTTTTTGCTACCCTTAAGCTCAAGACAATGAACATGTAACCAACAAACCCTTTGTCTAAACTTAACCCACAATAATCTACTAAAAATAAAAACACATGTACACACATTTATCCACAAATTGAAACTCAAGATACTTCAACACTCTAGTTCTAGAAAGATATGTGTAATCTTTCATAGCACCCAAATGAGGGAATGTTAAATTATATTGGAGGGAATCCTCTATGAAAGCATTTATGTTGAAACTTACGCAACCATGAATCAGTGCTCCTTTTGTGAAGAGGTGGATAATTTCAGACACAAAGGTCAACTTGCAGTATTTGTGGTATTTGTATAGGAACCAACAGGATTTTAGCTTTGTTTGAATAAATAGATTTCTATCATCTCTGTGTATTGGGTCAGAATTTTTCCACAAGCATTTACTGACACCGGTGTTGTGCATCTTGATGAAGTGTGTCTCGCGGTAGCAGCCGATGGTAGGAACCCCTTCTTTTGCATCTCGACCTTCGTTGTGATTGTCAAGGTATAGTACTTTACAAGAGTTTGTTTGCGAGTTCTTAGGAAGGATTTTAATGGCATGTCTCGGAATTGGTTACGAGGATTGATTTCTAATGATCTGTTCTACCAAGCAGCAGTCAAGTAGACAGATTCTGTGACATCGGCCCAACAAATTGAATTCGACACAACGTCCGGTTTGTAAGTTGTCCAACAATACACCCTCGAAACTTGTAAACTATCTATTTCCAAGCTGTATGACAATGGCCCATGATTTCACGTTTTTAATTCTGAAGTTGTGTTCGTTTTCAAAAGTTGATAAGCGGACAAGTTTTCGTTGATACCGCTCAAAATTTAATTGCATTCTCATTCGGGGAGGTTCATAGTACGTTGATCGATTTCTTATGATGCTTTCGCACCAGGGGTGTTCTGTCGTTCATCTTGCACAAAAATCATGTGTAGGGTTTGCACTTCTGTGATGTGGAATCTGTAAGTTGCTTCATAACTTACTGCATGAACTGTTCGGAGCTGTAAATGTGAAAATAGCGAGAACTGTGGAAAATGTATGCAGTGAGTACTGATGCGATTTTATGGTATTAGATGATGGGCAACTTACAACCTCAAACTCGAGACATGTATTTTTTAGTAAAAGAATTGCAAGTTAATTTTGCTTTTTCTCTTACAGAGTTTGTGTAAGGATTTGAAGTCATTGTTAGTGCTTAAACAGATGTCGTGGCGTCAAGCTTCTGTGTGTTTGACTCAGATATTCATGACTCCTATATTCCATATTTGAATCGGGTAGACCCGAAAGGTTCTACATGGATTTACAGTCATTTCTGGAATAAATTTTGCAAATTTTTTGAAACTGTCTTAAATGCTTACAATAAAATAAAATATAAACAATAGTTGGGACTCGTTCTCCACATGACATGCATCTCCTTCTCCATGAATCTTAGCTCGGGTACATTGTCCTACTCTATCCTTTCAAAAAATGCCAGTTTGCACTATCCTTCGCATCTCCGCTTGTCTGCAGTTCTTCTATTAAATATTATATCTTCCATCAATTATAATACCAATTATTGAAGGTAGGAGACCTTTAAATAATGAAGAGTGTCTACATTCATGGAGCAACCGAGTTTGCGAGCTTCATGAGTTTGTCTTTACTTTTTTATCACAGAAGACCATGGTTTTTTTTCTTAAATGTATTATGTGTGTTTACTACGGCACATGCACTTCACTAGTTCACAAGGCTCGAGACATATACCCCATTAATATGATAGTTTGAAGTTTTTCTAATTGCATTGTTACAAATGCATTCATCATTTTATTTTTATTTGTACTTTCTTTTCTTTTGAGTATAAATATTTAATGACACATCTTAAAAAATGATAAATATTTAATTAATGATTAGCATGTTGATAATATTAAAAAAATTAACAATAATATAAATTAATAAGTACATAACATGCATTTTAAAGTCAAATTTTGCCAACAAAATTTATTCATCAATTTGGTTGCTACAAGATACTCATTTGATATGTTTGATGTATTATATTTGAATCTAATTCGAAAAATAAATAAATAAATAAATAATGCAAATTGGTTCTCACACTATTATATAACTTGTACTCTTGTATGTGGTATATTGTTAAAAAAGTAATTGGAATTGGTGGGCACTAATTTTAAAATATCAACTTTATTGCAAGCACAATGTAATCTATAATTTAGTGCTGCAAAGGAAGTTATACCAAATTTAAACACAAATTGAATAGGTATATTATTAGAGTTTTTTTGTAGGATAAAAATGTTCAGTAGTAATAAATTAGAAATTAAAACTTCTAGGATGTAATATTAGAATACAAAGTCAGATATGTTCTATCTCAGAAGGCTAATATTTCACATATGTGTAGTATAGTTGTACATTATTTAAATACATGACTTACAAATAAATAAAATAAAAGATATCAACAAGAAATTAAGTATATTGTAATTTGCCTATGAATGACATAGACAAAAAAAAAACATGGCTCTATAATGTCTAATATCAATAATTTAATTATAGGTAATTCACTTGACAATATTGCAATTCATGATGATGAATATGATAGACAAGGAGAAAAAATAAAAATCAAAAATCAAAAATCACACACTAAATTGTTAGAAATTTTATAATGTGATGTAATGGGTCAATTGAGGAATCATTGATTACATATTCTTATTTATAATTTAGACCATTCATAATAAAACAAAAGAATAGAGAAGTTTTAAAAAAAAATCAAAATTATTCCATTTAATTAAAAACTAACTACCTACTAATATAGATGATTAATCAATTAATAGACAACAAGCATAGGGATTTATAATTTAACAACAATATTTCCAAAAACTAATTTCAAATTGTAAAGAATTTAAAACAGTTGATTCTCTAAAAACAATTTTGTAAAACATAATTATGGAATTATGGTTAATGCACTCAAAATTAATCATAATAAAGTGTCTAAGCATATGTAACATTTTAAAATTATGTTGATATAATACATCAAAATAAAATTTGAGATTCAATTATACTAGTAATGCACAAAAATAAAATAAAAATTATAGAACAACATAAAATATATTGTCTAAAATTGTGTATATGTCTATTTTACCAAAACTTGTACCACATTATTAGAACTTCCAACATTCTCATTATTGCTTGGATAAGTAGCATACTTGACTTCATTGCATGATTTTCATTTCTCACTATTGCCAAACAATAATCTCATTACAATTTCAAAAAATATTTCTGTTTTTATTCCTCAACTTAAAAAGCAAAAAAATTAAGAACTAATGGTAAGAAGACCACACCATGTAGATTGATCCAACTCAAATTGTTTGATATGTACATCATTAAATACAAATTTTTAAAGAGCTATGTAATAAAGTTTGTAAGTAATGACTCTCAAGTCAACATTTTACAAAAACCTTGTTTTGATGACATGGTGATTGATACTTGTTATAAAAACCTACATAATACACAATATAAGGACCATGGTATAATGCAAAGTTGCATTCCTTACTCACTACAAGTGGCAAGAAAGAAGCTAATATATTTGTGAACAATAGTTACAATAATTAAATCTCACTTGAAAAACTCTCTTCTATTTTAACATTTTTAGTAATTTCCTTAATAAGATGTTTATTATTTCTTATGCCAGCTATCACAAATCTACAAGTCAAACTGAGAGTCACATTTTTAACAATAAAAGTTGAAAATATATGTTATAAAAAGAATATCAAAGGAATGCATTCAACACAAATATTATATATAATATTTAGTTTAGAAATCTTATATTTTGTAATGTAAATGGGTGTGATTAAGAATTGTTCATTTGTGATAGCATGTAATTTTAATAGATAATAAAAAATAAAAATAAACCCTCATTAACTCTATCATATACCCAAATATATATATATATATATATATGTGTTCCAGTTTCCTTGTAAAATTCAAAATTCTTTATGCAAAATTTGATTTTAAAGTAAATATTGAAACAATGTATCTTTTATGGTTTGTAATGATTTTTTTTTTTTTTTTTTTTTTTTTTTTTTTGCATCAAAATTGCATAAATGTGTATAAATATTGAGTTCAAAATGAATCAATGAAAACCAAAACATAATTATTACATATTATGTATATATTTAGTTTATATATTATCTTGTAAGAATAGATTCCATACTCTTACACAAATTCTAAACCCTCCACTGCTAAATGCATGTAGTGCCTAAGTTAATTAGAACTTATTCTTGATGATTTTGTTTAACAAATTGTGTACAAGTTATCACAGTGAAATGGGGAATTTAATGAATATGTTTAACATTCAATAAATGCCATATTTGGAAAAAATTAACAAGCATATCAGAAATGCTTCCATACTCCTATTGAGTCTTTCCTCACGCATAACCAAAGACATTTACTTGTCACTTTTCTGCTGTAGCCACTTCAAGTGACTTACAATCAAGAAGATTCAGTAACCAATACTGTGTCTTATATCTAGTTTCACTTTTCCATTTCAAATAAGATTAGTTGAGATCATTATCATTTTTTCTAAAATGATCAGTTTATTTTACTTGTGAGTATTGATGTTGAATTAATAATTCATAAATATAGATTTCATTTGTACACTAAAAGAACATTGCTCAAAACCATTGTTTTACTGAGTAAAACAATCACAAAGTCAACAATAAAAAATAAAAAAAACATTAAAAACAAGCATTGAAGATAAAGACTTGAAACATGTGGAAGTTTTGTAAACACTTCAAATAATATACAGATTTTAAATTCGACAAAGCTTTACTATGTACAAAAATGCAAGCTAAGAAGCAATTGTTAAAAAAAAGCAATCCACAAACAAGCAACTGCAACGCTTTCATCGTACCAAGAAACACACAAGAGCCTTGACGAGATGTGAAATGCTCGAGTACGAATTTCTCATGTTTTTGGCAAAATAACATCGAGACTTGAAGAACTCAGCTAACAAGCTTGTGATAACCAAATACTCACAAAAATTCTACCTCTTTCACATATCTGAAGCGGGCTTCTATGCGATAGCTTGAGACTTGTTCAGAATCACTCCCTCGTATTTAACCTGGAACCACTTCATGGCATCTTCCTTGGTAACGCGGTGTTGAATACCAACGCGAGACTTAGCTCTGCGTCTCCTTCCGACTCTGTAACCTGGGCGCTCAAGCACAACGTAGAAGTCCATTCCGTAGATACCAGTGGAAGGGTCGTACCTACCAGGGGCAAAACACATTCAAATCGGTCACTTCTGTTCAATGCACCATCCATAACCCTCCAGGCCATTCAAAGCTGAATAATTGCTTACACTGATGCATTGGCTTTACAGAACTTGTCCTAAATACAACAGCTGGCAACAAGACCATAACGCCTTAAGACGGAGTTCGTAAATAATTTGATATCTAGTTAAGTAATCAGTAGATCGAGGCACAATAATATCGTTGGCATTGCAATTAAATGTACTTACTTGATACCAAGATCAATGTGCTCTTGGATTCCAAAACCAAAGCAACCCGATTCACTGAAGTTGCGACGCAGAAGCTCGTATTCCTTCACCTTCAAGCCACTCTCCAACAGCTGCATAGCTTTCTCGCCACGAACGGTCACATAGCATGCAATCTTCTCGTTACGCCTGATTCCGAAAGAGCGGACAGTGTACCTAGCTGCAAATTATAGGGCATTTCCACTACTTAGTGCACTGCATTATTAAGGTAGAAGTTATTTGTTCCAATAAAATAGTGCACACACCTAATCATGTATTTCAGTTAGACCACCGAAAACCAAACACACTCACCCTTAGAGAAGACAGGGCTTTGGCCACTAAGTTGCTCCAACACCTGAACAGTGGCGCACTCACAAGTTCAAAAGATTGAAATTGCCGCGATATTTGAAATTCAAAATCGACCTCACGTTGCAATCTGTACGATTCCCAAAAAAATACTACCGAGTGAATACTGTCTTCAACAACAAGACTTTTAGGGCAAGCGGAAAACAGACGGGGGAAATGTAAGGCAGAACTCACTTTGGAGGCACGAGTAAGACGATCTCCGCTCTCACCAACAGAGATGTTCAGAACTAACTTCTGAACCTTAATCTCCCGCATAGAATTCTGCTGCTTCTTTTCGGAGGCCTGAGAAACCCAAAACAGCACGATCAATCCAGAATACTGAATCCTGCTAGTTGAGAAGAGTAATCAGCTTTATTAACAAAGGATCTTCTAAAATTTCTCCATGATCAAAATTCCCTAAATGAAATATATTTCGGTAATCCAATATCCCATGGTAATTAGCATACAAATTTCTTCAAATTAAAGGGTAAAATCAATAGTAATATACTCAAAACCCGCGAAGATCAATTCATTTTTAACTTCGTTACAGCTTAAGGGTGAAAAAATCTGACGGCACTCAGATCAGAGCTCTCAACCAAGCAGCTACTTCAACTAACAAACCGATTTCCACCACTACAATCACAACCAACTTGAATTCTCATCCTCAAGCTAAGCACGTCATCCTAAGCTATAGAAGAATGGGAGCCGAATCTTCACCACAGAACCCCTAAACCCTAAAAACCCTAACAATCTCTGTTCCTGAAAGAAACTCTAGCAAAACGAAACCAGGGGATGGTAGAGCCATCGAAAAACACGAGGCGTGTGAGAAACGCTGGAATAAAAAGCGCCTAACACGATCAAGTTGCAAGGAGGATAACCTAAACCCTAAAACACAAACTGCACCATTTCCTGGCGACCAAAAGCTGGTCAAAAGAAGTCGTTCGATTTGCTGCGACGAGATGCTGAGCGGCGTTGAAGGGGAAGAATCGAGAGAGAGAGGAATTGAGAACACTCACCATGGCTGTCGAGCCGGTGCTGCTGCTGCTGCTGCTGCTGCTGCTGCTGCAGCGGAGGGCAACGGCGGCGGGTGCAGCTGCGAGAAAGGAAAATCCTCGGCTATCCCTGCCTCTTTGTAGGCTTCTCCCAATTAGCGCCGTATTAGTGACTCGCCCTTACTAATGTCGTGCTAATCTCGATTAGGAAGTTACCAAGCCCTGTCTTCAATTCCTGGCTCGAAGCCCATTCCAGCTTGCACAGTGTGAAAGGGTTAGTGCTTGAATTCATGACTATTGGACACTTTGCGTGTACATTGTGTTTGAAACTTTGTAGATGTAACTACATAGTGAAGCTTGTAGATTGAAAAACTTGAAGTGGTTAATCTAGAATTTGAGGTGATGATAACTTGTATGAGAAATATGTTTGTTGGTGATTCACTATTGTGTCATTTTTACACTTTTAAAATTAAAAAACATGCAGCATCTTCAATAGACCTTAGCTTTTTTGGAATAATATTACTATTAATACTAATCTATAATTGTTGCAAATCTTGTAATCTCTTTACTTTGTTTTATAAAAAGCTTTAACGAAGTAAGCATTCTTCTTTAGTAATGTTATTATTCTTATTGTTATCAAATTCTATTTTCAATAGAATTTATCAAAATGCCAAATGATAAATATACAAATATATAGATATATACAGAGGGAAGTACTGAACTTCTGATATATACATATATCAGCTTGAAGATTCTACCTTCGATAGGTTTTTATTGATGTATATCATGAAACATTTGTCATATGAACGGATTAACTATTTGAAAGAAAATCTGACAGATATTCTACAAATTTTTATACGTTAAAATACATATAATCACCAACAGGATAATATAATATAATAAAAGATCATAAATTTTATTTGAGTTTGGTAGAACACACACAATTTTTAAAATTTGATATATCATTCAACATTTCACAATAATTGTAAAGAAAAGCATGAACATTTTTTTTTATACCCTTCAAGATTTTTATGAAAAAAAATATGTATTATGAAAAATTATGAAAGGAACACAAATTAACGTGATTTAGTTGCTTGCAAATAATTCGAACATTTAATTTTGCATAAATAAACATTATAAAACACGTAGCACATTTATAAGTGAAAAAAAAAAAAAAAAGTGAAACAGTTCTAAATGTACATACTACTTATCGAAAATGCAACATTTTATTTTTCCTCCTCTTTGAAGGACATTGCATTGTGGATTCTTCAAAGTTTGAATGTTCCCTGTTGAAAAAAAAAAAAAAAAAAAAAAAACAAACAAACAAACAAACAAAAAAAACAAAACAAAAACAAAAACAAAAAAAATGAATTATCATGAAATCAGTAGTGATCAAGATTCTCAATGGCATATTTTATTTTTTTATTTTTTTATTTATTTTTAACATCTAAATGTCAGAATGCTAAGCCAACATCCATAAAAATAGATAATTCCAGCAAAAATATCCATTGGCCAAAGTTGAAGAATAATCATGTTTTTATAGGTCATCTAAATGAATTAAAAGATTATATTGACGATATCACAAAAAAGAAGCAATTTAAAAATTTATTTGCATATTAATGTGTCAATATTCCACATAAAAAAATAAAAAAATGAAAAAATAGTACAAATATAAATTTGGTTTTTTTTATTCTACAAATGCTTAACAAATTGCAAGAACTGTACCTCTTCACAAATATAAATTACCATCAAACATTAAAACCTAATCCTCGTTGAAATACCAATACCATTTTTCATTCATCCACCGCCCTTCCATGGATGGAGCTTGGCTCTCTCCATCGGGGACGGGGGGGACCAAACTGGCAAAGCGTCATGACGGACGAGGTCAGACACAGCCTATCGTCCTAGCCGGTTCTCAATACTGCAAATAATTCAAAACTCCCCTGCCGGGTGAGTGTTCAACGGGCCGGGCGCGATTCGGGGATCGCGGGCGGGGGTGGGGGGACCCGAAGAAGCGGCGGGTGGGAGGCCTTGAGAGGCAGAGTGAGTGAGTCCTCGCAGTGCAGGTGCCGCGAGGTGGAGAAACTCTCGGAAAGGGGTCATTTCTCTCTCGCGCTTTCGCTCGGGCTCTTGCTACTACTCTACCACGACGACGACGACGAAGTGTGGTGCAGCAGCACACGATTAGGTAGCAGATCTGGAGCGGGGTTTGCATCTCGGAAGGTTTGATTGGGGCGACAGAGGTTGGGCAAAATGCCGGTGGCGGCATCTGCCATCTATTTCCTCAACCTTCGAGGAGATGTGCTCATCAACCGGTTGTACCGGGATGATGTGGGGTATGCCTGCTGCTTCGCTTCGTTTCTGTCTCGGAGTTGCTGCGATTGTTGGAGATGAGTTTTTTGTGTGGATTTGTGCAACGTGAGGAGTTTTTCAGCGTTTGGTGGTTGCGAGGGAGAGGAAGAGAGAGAGAGAGAGAGAGAGAGAGAGGGAGAGTATGGAAGCTCGTGGTGGGAATAAGTAGCAGGAGAGCGAGTGGATGGCGTGCGTTAGGGTTTGTTGGGGAGTGTAATGTTTCACGTTTCTGAAGTGGTTGGCAGTGTTTTTTTTTGTGTGTGTTTGGAGATGAACACAGTGAAGGGATTAAGATTAGGTGGGGTTATGGGTGGATCGCCGTGTGAAAGATGGGCTGGATGAGGGGTAATTTTAATTCCGGAATCGTTCAGTTTAGGAATAGTGCTAGATCCTATTTAGAAGAAGGATTTACGTGATTACGGGGATATCGTTCATTTGGATATGTAGCTGTTACTGATGAAGTGACGGTCAATGGGCTGGATTTTGGGCTTTATCTTATGTACGCAGAGGCAACATGGTGGATGCTTTTCGCACCCACATTATGCAGACAAAAGATCTGGGTACATGTCCAGTGCGACAAATAGGAGGCTGCTCTTTTTTGTACATGCGCATCAGCAATGTGTACATAGTCACTGTTGTTAGCAGCAATGCCAATGCAGCTTGCGCCTTCAAATTCGTGGTTGAGGTATGTCTTATTAGCAAGTCTTCTCACAAGCTTTCATTGGATCCAACTTGATCCAGTGTTAGATCCGGACTGCAATTTTCACGAAGCCAGAGTTTCGTTTGTGTTAGTTCTGCCAAACGTGGCCCCTGAAACTACAAGACCAGCTTCATCAAATTCTAATGCAACTGTCCAGTTATGAACGATTAGCTTGCTTTCTTCACCTAGAATAGGGGATCAAAGGCGTGGTTGGTCACAGATTTGCATTACTCACATCACGAGGACGCTTCTATGATTATAATTTAGGTCAATCGGAAGATCTCGGCCATTCTGGTCGACACATGGATTTGAAGTGTACCCTGTTGCATTTCTACTTAGATTCTGTACACCAAGAACTTCATCCAGAGGGCAGTAGAAATTGAAACCCCCAGAGATTAGAATTAAACTGAATTATTTTTGAGGGTGGATTTTGGGAACCAGAAAATTGATTTAAATGCAGTGAAAGTAGTTTTGAAGATAATTGTATGATGGTACCAGGCAGTCGCACTTTTCAAGTCGTACTTTGGAGGGGCGTTCGATGAGGATGCGATCAGGAATAATTTTGTGCTCATCTACGAGCTTCTTGATGGTGTGGAACCACTTCATTCTTCCTGAGCTTGAAAGAGTATAATCATTTTGAGTTACTTCAAAGGGATGTAGGATTTCGTTATTGCTGCATGCATATTAACCAGACAGAGCTAAAACAATTCCATCTTTCCAACTTTTGCGGGAGTTGGCCTGGTTTCCAGTCACTTGGAGAAGTATACTAAGTCACTGGATAGTATCATTTTGATCCAGTGTCATCTCGTCATAATGACCGCACGTTTAATTCTGAAGTCGCCTCCCCAGTCTTCGTTACCATGTGCAACTAACACCACTGTTATTCGTGCAGAGATTATGGATTTTGGGTATCCCCAAAACTTATCCCCAGAGATTTTGAAACTTTATATTACTCAAGAAGGTGTTCGTTCTCCATTTTCATCCAAGGTAACAGGAGTTATATTTACCTTTTATGCAGGTTTTTGTACACGTCGTAATGAGCGCATACACATTGTTTTATCATCCGGATTTGCGAGTCTTGGCGACCTGGAAATGTGCGTAATTCATGATTTTTGCTGCATATTCTACGAAGACATCAAGGGTCTCTGCATCTGACTGTTTTTGTTGCATTGGAATAGGCCCTAGATAATAGGCCACCAATAAATGCAACCCTTCAAGTTACGGGAGCTGTTGGTTGGAGGCGAGAAGGTCTTGTTTACAAGAAAAATGAGGTACATATGTTTAAAGGAGAACGTAGTTTCGCTTCTTAAGAAGCATTGGGATTAACTCTATCTTAGAAATTCTGAATTTATCGGTTTAACTGAATGAAAGTTTGTGGTACTCAAGAATTTGTTGTTGGTTGTGCAGGTCTTTCTCGATATTGTGGAAAGTGTCAATCTCCTCATGTCTCAGAAAGGTGAGTCTTTACATATTCTGATATTTCATTGCCTTCTGCCCTGGACGTGTTTAGGAAGTTCATCAGTCCAGCCGCGCTAGTGTTTCGTTCTACAGGGATGTCGAGGATTTTCTCTAGGAATCTTCGAGGTTGATGAGTGGATCGTTCATAAACTGCTGATCGCATCCATGGCCAGATTTTCGGCCCTTCTACTTCCATTTTCACTTATTTATTTCTTTATTTATTGGAAAGCTTCAGGTGGTTTATGCATGATGTATCATCTCAGCCTGAGTACAATCTTGAACGGTTGTTTGGTGTTGCAGGAACTACTTTGCGTTGTGACGTGACTGGCAAGATTTTAATGAAGTGCTTCCTTTCGGGAATGCCGGATCTGAAACTTGGACTCAACGACAAAATAGGACTGGAAAAAGAAGCTCAAGCCAAGGCCCGACCATCGAGAAGGTTGAATGCACATTCCTGGGGCACCCTGATTTTGCTATGGCTTCATTGTGCAAAGTTTCCCCGAGATGCTTCTTTCCCCTTGCAGATTTGAAATGTTTGAAAATTGGAAGGTACTTGACATTCCGTCCTGATGTATTTCCTTTTACGACAGTGGCAAGACAATTGAGCTTGATGACGTCACATTCCACCAGTGTGTGAATCTTACGAGATTCAATGCCGAGAAGACAGTCAGTTTCGTTCCACCGGATGGAGAGTTTGAACTGATGAAGTAAGTTCTTGAGCTATGTACTTTTGGCCAGGAATGAAGTGCGTTCAGTTCTAGTTCACAGGGAGTGTAACCGCGCTGTCACCTTTCGGAAGAGAACATAATTTAATGATCTAGTTGATGCTACTATATCTTGCATGCGGACAGTGGTCTTTACCTGCGGCACATCCTAAGCTTTGAGCATTTTATCAATGCACAGGTATCGTATTACAGAAGGTATCAACCTACCTTTTCGGGTGCTGCCTAGCATCAAGGAGTTGGGTCGGACCCGAATGGAGGTCAATGTTAAGGTGAGATGGATAGCCCTCACGCTGCGACGAACAGTACTCTGTTGATAGTGTGTCTTAAATTCAGTAACATTAGTTCCAGATGCATGGCTACGATATAGAATGTTTAGAATGCCTTGTTGATGCGTCAACACGTCGCCAACAGTGTTCGATACTGCACGTTCAGGTCAAGAGTGTATTTGGGGCCAAAATGTTTGCACTTGGAGTGGTGGTCAAGGTGCCTGTTCCCAAGCACACAGCCAAGGCTAATTTTCAGGTGACCTCTGGAAGAGCAAAGTACAATGCGGCTACCGACTGCTTAGTGTGGAAGTAAGCTTCTCTTCTTATCTGTTGTAGTCGTGTTGAAGCTGATGGGTATTGTTCGAATAGCTCCTGGTGGGTGTAATACATTCTAAGGTGCCGCATTTATTCAGTCTTGTTGGGAACGGGTGCTTTGTGTAGGGTGAGGAAGTTTCCTGGACAAACGGAACTAACAATGAGTGCCGAAGTGGAGCTGATATCAACAATGGTTGAAAAGAAGTCTTGGACGAGGCCTCCCATTCAGATGGAGTTCCAGGTTCCCATGTTTACTGCATCCGGCCTACGGGTTCGCTTTTTGAAGGTCCGTTCTCTACCCCTGCCTCTCGATGTGCTAAGTTTTCAATGGTATGTGTAGATACGGTCCACAGGGAATTGCTCACCTTGGTGATATTTAATTTATCTAGGTATGGGAGAAAAGTGGTTACAGCACTGTTGAATGGGTGCGCTACATCACAAGAGCCGGTTCATACGAAATTCGGTGCTAATTTGGAACATTTGCCCATGGCGGGTTAGACTTGTAGACGGTGAGAGACAAGATATATGTCTGGTTGGTCCGAAGACTTTTCTTCGTTGCCATGTATTGAAGGCAACAGTAGTCGGTGTCTTCACTAATTAAAATGAGACAGCCAAAGCTCCTGTGCATTGGCAGCAAGGTGTCCTATTTCGGATAAATGGTTTCACTATATTTTAGTGCTTTTAAAACACTTGATTCCGTAGTTACACAGTTGGTCACGAGCACGCCCAATACCAATATTCTTGGGAATGGTGTAGTAGTTCGTTTGTATTTGGCTTCTTATTATGAAATGGTTTATGAATGGCGCAATACTCTGTACAGCAAGAGATCTGTAGCACCACGATTGAAAAGTGTATAAACATTGATAAAGAACCCAATCAACCTAAGCAGCAATAAGTCCTTTTATGCAGCATTTCTAGAAATAGCTGTAGCTACTTCCACCAAAAATACAACAAAATTATGCATGAGAAACCGTCGGAGAAAGTTCTATAACTTGCTCTCATTTTCTTTCACTGATTCAATACAATTCAAAGCTGGTCCAAACTGGCGAGTATCATTCAATATTCAGACTTGCAATGTCAAAATGCAAAAGTAGGCTAACAATCAAGAACCAACTCTGGTTAGCCACATAACGAATTTCTCTCCGGCGAGGTAGCCTATTCGCTGAACAGATATTACTACATCAACAACCCAGATCCAATTCACATCGAAGCGCGCAACTATAACCCAACACTACGTCCCATAAATACAAAAGCACAAAAGAATAAGTTTAGAGAAATATAACCTAAACCCGACTGACTGTTTCAACACTACCAATATAGTCTACATTCACAGACAAATCAAATACTGAAAGAAACCACGAATCCGATTGCCCAATGCTTTTCCACTGTGGGTTAGCCACACAGTCGCGACTAAGCTAATTACCAGGTCACTGCCCAGCAGCTGCCGGCACTCCCTGTTTGCTTTTGTACACAAAGCGCCCCTTCCACCCCCTACATCCGCTCTGTTCCATAGTTCCCTAATGTACACAAATCCACCTACAATTACCCACGGATTCGTCCGTCCGCTCACAAGAATATCGATGGCGATTGCTCCTCCACACTTCGCAACGTCTCCGCGTCGCTTCCCCTTTTCCATGTTCTCTCCAACTGTTCATTTGCGTCACGAACATGCTCTCCAAACGCTACCCCGCGGATCTGCTTCCCGTCTCCCTTTACCTACCGCTTTCCGATCCACCCGCAACTCCTCACGTTCGTATCCCTGCCCTTGGAACTGTTGGCAACCCGTACTCGTCCGCTTCTGCAGCCTGTTCCAACCAAACCATGCATCGTCAAATGCGACCGCGAACGCGCTCCGTTCTGAGCGACGTCAGGTACTCACAGCTTCCACGACCACCGAACAAACAGGCATTCCCATGCATTATCAACCTAGCCAACGCCGTTCACATTCTCCCCACCTCCATGGCATCCAAGCCCTCGGCATCAACTTCATCACCACACCTCACCCATCACGGGGCGGTTATGTGACACCTACCTGCGGCTGAGCGTGGCCGGACGGAGCGGCGGGTAGATCCATCTCCTCCTTGTCGTCTTGCAAGTAAGATGGCATTGCATCCGGTTCTGCCTCCAACCCCATGTCGGCTTCCAAAGCATCCAACTCTGTTCCGCGTAAACACCATCCACAACATATGTCAGCCACCACTCGGTTGACCAGGTCAAATCCAAGGACTCCGACTACCGCCACCCAGCTACCAGAAGCACCCCTTACCTCCCATCAGCTCTTCTTCGTCGAAGTCTTCGGGTACGCCATAACTGCGACCCAGCGTCTCCTGGATCTCGGAGCTGTAGTCCACCAAGTCCATCATTTCGTCTTGCATTTTCTGCGCTCAAAAGTAACCCGTCAGTAGCTTCATGAAACCGATCCCAATTCCCAACTAACAGCGAGTGATGCAACTACACCCTGATCGGGCAATCACCACTCCCCATGTACGACTCTGGTATCTCTGAATCTACCACCATGCACGCGCTCACACCAAAAAACACCAACGCCCAACCAAGGGGATAGGAGCACGCACGTCGATATCATCGATCTTCAGCGTCTTCATGGTTCCCTTCAAGTCCTTGTTCGCGGCTTTCATGGCTGACATCTGCACAAACAACATTCCCAACACTCAACACGCAGCCACGGTGGACTCCGTTCACTGCTGTTCCATCTCCTCACGCTGACACACAGAATTCCCATTCGTTTGCTCCCTCACACAATGCCCTGCCAGGCCTAGAATGGGCTGCGCCTCACCTTCTGCCCAGAACTGCACCCGAACCTAGGAACACAGCATGGACGCCCAGTTTCCCTGCCTGCCTGCCTAACCCCCTTCCCCTCCGACCAACAACCTTTGCAACCACAACCACAACCACAAGCAAGTTCAGACGCCTCCGAAGAGACGAGCGAGGCTCACCGTTTGTTGAGCATCCTTGAGCCCTTCTGTCGCAAACGCAACCTGCTCCAAGTTGAAAGTTTGACTGTACAATTGATCCCGTTGACCTTCGTACCTGCCAATTCAGGATGGTCGCCATCATACCTCACATACCGACAATCAACACCGCCACTGCTCTACACCATCACCGCTTCCTACCTCAAACCCTAATCGACTTGTGAATCCTCCCAGAACCGTCAAATCCACTTCGCCACTCCACCTGCTTTGCACGAATCACAATCTCTACCGGTGCAAATCCTGTTCATCTCTTGGATGCCATGAACATAATACGACTACCTATTCGCAACGGGAGGGAAACCAAAAAGAGGACAAACTGTCTTTACATTTTCTTCTGCTTCAAAATTCGCATGGCACGGGCCTTCACGGCCTCTTGCGCAGGGCCTGGCCGAGTCTTCTTGATCTGCTCCCGATACCTGAACAGCTCCCCGTCTAGCTTCTTAATCTTCTCATCGATTGCATCGCCACGCTTATTAATCTGCTCACCACATGCCGCCCGCCCCCCTTTGCTAGCGTCACTTCCACTACCTCCGTCCCAACGATTCCCACAATCATGCACGACGATTCTCTCCCACTCATCGGAAAAGAAAACGTCTACGAGTCCACAATCCAATTCAAACCGCAGCATCTCGGTTCTCGAACCAACCAAGCAAGTCAGAGCTACTCTTACCCTTTGAGTCGCCTCCTCCACGGTCGGCCCGGGCGCCTTCTCCTTCTTCACACCGAAGACGCGCCTCATTATTCCCTGCTGCTTCGATTCAAAAAATACGCCACACGATCGCCCTTCCGCTGCGCGATCGAGCAAGCGGGATCAAACCAGCACCTAATCGCAGAGACGCGAAACGACTTGCTCGCAGCAGAGGGAGAGCAGCAAATGGCGCAGTGTGGAGCAGGAAGTCACAGACCGGAACGCGGACGCTTGGAGGCGACGACTACCCATGAAGAATGAATGAATTCACGAATGAATGAATACGTTAATGAATGAAAGAGTGGAGCATCATCCGTATGGAGTTCATCCGTTTGGGAGGCGAGGGAGGGAGACATCCCATTTACACGGGGCCATTCATGCCATGAGTCGGTCTCCTCCCTGGACGGTCATTTGAGTCTGTGTGTGTGTGTGTGTGTGTGTGTGTGTGTGTGCACTGAGCAGAACCGAATAGACCGCGGCAAACCCTTCATCGCTTCGTGGAATTCTCGGCAGAGGCGCTGCTCGAAATCGATTCTGGTCAGTGCTCTGAGACTTTGGTGTCGTTGCGTCTGTTTTCCGCATTGTTTTGGTTAGATTGGATGGTTCGCGGCCCTCTTCAGTGCAGGGGTTTATGATCGCAGTTTAGTATCAGCGGAGTCTTGGTTTAGGGGAAAAGCTGCGGGTGGAAGGTTCTGGAGATGGTGGAAGCCCCTTGGCGAGTGGTCGGTGATATCGCAGTGGTCTGGTCTTAGCATCGGTGCAGTTCTATTGTGTGTTTCCGTGGATTTGTTTGTTTGTTTTTTTTTTGGTTCGGTTTGTTTGTTTTTGTTTTGTTATTTTGTTATTTTGCATTATTTATTTATTTGTTCTGTTTTGCTTTGTTTGTTTGTTGATTTCCAATTTGTTTTGATTGCCTGTTATTTCGTCCTTCGCTCGCCAGGGAGGGTTCGTGAAGGTGATCGGTCTCGTGAAGTTTCTATCTTTCTTATTTGTGAGCGATTGGCACAAAGCGTTTGAGCGCTAATTGTGGAGGGGTTGTGAGAGGAGATTATGCGTACTTTTCTTATCCTTGCAAGTAACGCGTTCGTATACTTTGTGTTGGTTTTGAAAGCATTGTCGGGCATTATGCCGCTGGATCGGTTCGAGGTAGCCTAAATTTCAATGTTTGGATAGCTTGTGACTTCATTTGTTCGCTTCTACAGTCGTCCTGTTTGTGCGTCGAGAAACGGTTTCCTACTATCGTTCATCACGTCGCTCTAGTGTGTTCCCCATGAGCTCGGAGTGGTTGAAATTCGACTGACATTGCGTGTTTCTTGTAATGTGCGAAGGTTGATAAGAGTTGAGAGCAATGGGAGAGGAATTGGAGGATGTGCCCCTTCCGCAGCTGCTGACTCAAGCACAGCAAATACATTCTCTTGCCAATTCGTCTCAAATTGGAAATGTGAGGCAATTTCGCGATCTGACTTCGGGGGTGTAAAGTCTGTATGGTGCAACATAACACGTGTTGCGTTCTGGCGTCCTTGTCTTTTCGTTAGCTACACAGTGATTATTGAAGTAGTCCTTGGCAGGTTGTAAAAGCGTAAGCCTTAGACAGCATTGTCAGGACACGATGCACAGAAAATGAAGCCCCGTGTAGGGGCACGTGGTGAAATTCAGCGCAGCGTGGAGATGTCTGTTAATGTGAAAGGTTTTTCGTGATGGAAGGTGACGAATTCTCACGCTATATCTTTCTGATTTAGCAGGACGAAGTGAAGAAAGGTTGTCAGCTTTTACGAAAGTGCCAAGAAATCGCAGACAGGATAGGTTTATTTTCTACCAACGAGGAGAAGGAGGACATTAGCACTGGGGATCTGAAGTACTTGCTGGTGCGCAGTCAACTCCCATGGACTTCGTCCACTGCACCTTGTAGCTTTGAGACGGTGCTCTCATTTTCTACATGCATGTGCTCTTCGTGAATCGCTAGGAGGTCGAAATGTAGTACCTCCTGACAATTGTTAAGGTCTGTGCGACTGAATGCATCACCTTACATTGAAAGAGCTTTTGAAGTTCAACTGAGCATCTTTGGAACCCCACAATACGCAGGTTCCATATTACTTGGGCGAGCTCACAGAAAAGTTGGAAACGGAAGATCGGGTTCAATTGGTTAGGGTTGCCAAAGGACAATTGTTGGTGCGCTTTCGAGTCACTTGTGACCTCACCTTGCATTTGGGACGACATGAAGCAACATTTGAGTATGAATTGTTTGCCTGACGGCTATGGATACATTCTTTGTTGATGCTGTTCGGTTAGGATATTACTTCTTTGTATCCTTGTTGCTGGAGTGCATTTCGTTTTGACCTGGGATTGGTCCACAAATAAGGATATTTGTGCGTGCAGTTTTGTGGATATTTTCTGTCTGGACTTGGTCCGCTGCGCCATTTGATGACTCCAATGGTCGTGCGATTGTCTGACACATACTCCATTGATATTTCGCTAGAGCTTTATTCGAACATGTGAGCGGTTGGAACTGCTTTCCGAAAGCGACGCCCAGGTTCTCAGTAGAGAGGGTCGCGCTACTCCTGAAACAAGAAGAGCGGAAAAGGTGTGTGGTCTAACAAGTTTTGATCGTGCGTTTTGGGTGTATTTATGTTGTACGAGAGCTTGTTATGAACAGCAACCAGAATTCCATTTTCAGGCGATGCAGTTATGGCTGTAGCTGATTGTTTCGGAGTTTCTGTGAGCATGTAATCTGCTGTTGCAAAAGGAATGAATGCCCACTATTCACAACCTGCTCAGCAAGCTGGATATCAGGTGCCTTCAGTCAAAGTCGTGGACTCGTGATCGCTTGTGTGTTCTTAATCGGGGTTTGGGGACGTAGGTTGCGCGGTTCAGAAAGCAAAGAGCTGCTGAATCTAAGTTACAAGAAATCAAAGAGAGAAAGGAGAGGCGGCGACGGTCTATGCAAGCTACTGCTAAGAGCACTAGTGTGGAGCAAGGGGAAGAAAATTTGCCAGATGAAGACGATGAAGAAGAGCGAGAGGTGAATTTCAGTTAATCAAGTGGTGTCGCCGAGGGATGTATCTTGTGGGTTGCTTTTCGAGGCGTTCGACTCTTTGCATGGAGAAATTAGGGTTATGTTTACATAGACGACTTGCTCGTACTAACTATTATCAATGTGGAGGCATTTGCAGGCTTGGTTCTTGCAGATATCATTGGCTCTGTGCAAGGTTTGTACACAGATTTTGCCCTCGACTTGTGAAAGACTCTGATATGCCTGATATCATGTTTTTGGGTCGGGCTTGTAATATGAGAACAGAGGTGCTGTTGATTTGTCGTTAACTGCACGGAACAGAGTATGCCGAGCGTAAGTACTGGGTTGTCTCAAGCCAGCTTGGATGGGAGGGCAACGCTAAGAAGTACCATAGAATGTTAGAATGTCTTCTCACGTAAGTGGTATGGCTGTTGAACACAGTCCTTGGACTTGGTCGAGATGCTGCAGCGGGAGGAGGAGATGCTTGCTGCTGTACAGGCTGCCAACGAAGAGGTTAGCATCGTGGAGGCATTACAAGTATCGTCATAGCTAGAATGATGGGGTTGCGCTTGGTGTAGTGTGATTGACGAAGTTGGAAAGTCGTTCAGAGAAATCCCAATGGAGGTCGTCCTCTCGGGGAGTAGGTTTTGATATGCACAGGAGTGATGCTTGTTTCTTGCAATGCGCATCCAAATGTTCATCGAACTGTGCTGACGAAGCATTTGTTGTCTTCGTAGGGAAGAGAAGCCTTTTCAAAAGAGATGTTGGATGAAAGGCATTCTAGAGCAGATGACTGGCACAGACAAGGAGCTGCTAAGGCTCAGACTTCAAGGCCAGCCATACCCATAACGTGTGCAACGTATGCCCAAGACGTGATAGAGGGACGGGTTGCTATACAACCAAATCATCAGCACACGCACGGAGCTCCCATGTTGTTTGGGCCCGCAAGCGTCGTGAGTGGAAGCCTCTCCACTGATCGTGAGCGACAGATAGCTCAAGTCTTTCAGCCTAGCCACAGGTATGACCCTGTGCTTTAGTAGGGACGCGGCTTAATGTAGTTTCTTCTGTTAGTTCCTACCATGAATGTTTCGTGTCGTTGGTCATATGGGGGCAACGCCGGGGAGGCAGCCGCTGCCCAGTCATCCCGAGCAGCCAGACACGAGGATGGCAGCCAGCGAGATGGCTGGATGGAAAAGAGGTTGTGAAGGACGCGAATGAGCACTGAGCTCAGTGGTGACACTGCGCTTTTCGGTCGCTAGGCGCTTAATTTAATGACTGAGGAAGGTCACCGGTCACTTTTATTTTGTCATGTTTTACATCGGCGGTGTGTTCAAAAAAATTCGTGTTGAGGCTTAAAGAAGTGGAACGTTCTGATTTTGCAGTTTACCAAGCATGAGCATAGAACAGGCCGGTTTGGCTGAAATGAAAATCATGCGCACGTGGAATGAGACCAATCAGAAGATATTCGACGAGGCTAGACAGTCGTCGTGGGTTGGGGAGGAGAAGAAGGACGATGACGATAGCGATGACGAGGCTGCTACAAACAAGGCCCGGGCCTGGGACGATTGGAAGGATGATAATCCGAGGGGAGCTGGTAACAAGAAGCTTACGCCTTGTGGATAAGCTTGTTGATTTTGGTAGGGCATCTCCGGTGTGATGCACATAAAAATGGGACCGTGCTTTCATAGTCGTGTCGGCTTCTTTTGTCTGCGCCGGGATTCAGGAGCCTCTGCTGAGGTTCAGAAACTTGTGATGTCGTTGTAGCTTCTGAAGTACTCGTCGTAGTTGTAAATCTGTTTGTTACCCTTTTTAAAGGTACACCATGTTGACTATCTTTATCAGTGAGAATGTTTCGGCGAACTCTATCAGCAGGTGATTTGCATGGCCAGTTGTATATTTGATAGAAGATTTGCTTTGGATGGCTAGTTTGTGCCATTTCTTAGCTGACCAGAACAAGTGTCTCCAATCATAAGCCAACAGATTCACATTTGTTTAGGGAATTCTTCACGGTACACTTTCTAAACGATGTTCTAAACGATGTTCGTTGTCCTCGGCGTCCCCCCTTGAGCAGTATAATATCCGCAAGCGCAAGCAGCACACTCCTGCGAAATGCCTATTCCTCACGCACATTCTTGCCCTCCACAACAAGTCCTGAGCTGCTTCTTAAAATTTAAATTGCGGACCATGCATGTCTTGGGTTAGTATTTGGTCAAACTGTGATAATCATTTCAACACACGAGTGTTCGATCTTTGGTTTCTATTCGTACGTGAGTTAAATATCTTTTGTTTACCATGCATGTTTTTTTCTTTTTGGATTGTCTGATGTTGCTTTTACTTGAGTTTTCCTTTGGACTTGAAGGCCATTGCTTGGAATTGTTGTGCTACCATTCAATGATTTCTTTTTTGCACTTGCCAAGATGGAGTTTTATTGTGTAATCTATTTTATTTTTTGTAACTTTGGTGTCTCTTTAAGAATTAGATTTCTTTCAAGTTGTTGTATTGTCCTCCACTTTAAAGCATCACTATTTTTTTTATTTATTTCTAGCTTATTGTCATTGGGATCCTTTTTTTAATGACTTTTATAGTTGTTTTGATGGATTTGTTTATTTTTATTTTATTTTATTGTACCTTTATCTAGTTTTTTTTTTTTTTTTTTTTTTTTTTTAAATCTTGGGTAACTTCATATCAATTGATCATTATTGCTACTTTAGGTTGTGACTTCTTTCCGATTATTACACAAATGATTGGTAATTATTTAATTTGCATTTTAGGCCTGTCTTATTCTAAATTACCTTTTGCCTCCCAAATGTGGTTAGGTTGTCATACTTAAGAAACTTGATTTATGAGGTTAATTAATGAGACAAAGTTTTATGGGCCTTGTTTTCACTCCAACAAGCTTTTTAAATTTTCTTCAAAAATTCCTTTAGCAACATCTGTCTTGTAGTTTCTTTACATTTTTTTTTTTTTTTTTTTTTTTTTTTCCATTGTGGCATTTGTTTTCTACACTTTATTTTTGTCATTATAGAGGCTTGTAACTAATATTCTAAATATCAAAGTGTTATATTCAATCTTTTACTATTACATCTGTATTTCAAGACCATATCATATATCTTTTTTTTACATGGTTTATTGCACTTCTTATAGTTTAGATGTGCTTTGTTTTCATCAAATATGCAACTTTTGTTATTTTAACGTTTTCATAGTTTAAATTCACAGTTTTAAATAATAGATTTTAAATCATTATGAATTTGAATATTGACTAAGTCTACTTTCTTTGAAGTTTGGTTTAAAACTCTATGGCCTTGTGTTTGATTTTTTGATTTTTTTTGATATTCAATTTGTGATCGATTAGATTGTTTTCTCAAAAAAGATATTTTATTTCTATTAGCTTCTTACAAAGTAGATTTAGCTTTTAAGCAAAATTTAGATCTATAAAGAAGTTAGGGCATTAGAATATTAGAACATAATGGCATAATGGAATACACAAATAAAAAATTCCTTAAAATGACAAAATATATAAGCATACAAGTTGAAACAGAAAAATTTATGTAGAGCGAGGTCAAGAATACTACTACTTACCTACTCAATCAATTCCCTACAATAGCAAATCTTTAAAAAAACACAATACAAACGTCTCTTTTGTGTTAAACTTAATCTATCTTAAATAAAAAAAAATTAGATCCAGAATGCATATATGAATAAATAAGACAAATTAAGACAAGTTTGATTCAAATGATATGTTTTCGAAGCTCAAGCTTGTCTTATTTGATTCAAATGACATTCCAATTATTACATGATGGTTGTACAAAACAAAGATAGGATTCAATAGAAAACCAACAAAACTAAAAGTCCAATTAGTAGCCTAGGGATTCTAACAAACCAAAGGTATTAATTTTGACGAAGTGTTTGCACAAGTAGCTAAGTAGAAAGTTATACAAATAATAAGAGTACTAGCTGTAAGTAACAACTAGCCCTTATTTCACTTAAATATAAAAGCATCATTTTTAAATGGAGATCTTTAGGAGACAATCTATATATAAGTTTTAAAAGGATTTTGAGTTTCAACCACCAATAAGAAAAGTATATAGGCTAAAATAATCATTCTACAACCTTAAAGAAGTTCCACAAGCATGGTTTGATAAAATTGACTTATTTCTAGATTACTTAAGCTTATTGAAAATCAAAGGTGATTATAGCTTATTTCAAATTATCAATTAATAAGGAATAATCATCATGATACTCTATATTGATGACTTACTCATTATAGGTTCTAATAACAATAGAGTTAAAAAACTAAAATAACAACTCATAAGGCACTTTGAAATGATAGATTTGAGCCATGTTGCACTATATTTGGGAGTAGAATTTAACAAGTTTTGTAATGGACTATTCCTATCACAACGTACATATATTCTCCACATCTTCAAAGAATTTGACATAGAGGAATGCATCCCATCTCCAATTCCGATGTTTGAAGGATTACAACTTAGAATTAAGAAAGAGTCATCAAAGATTGATACAAAAATATTTCAAAAAGTAGTTGGTATGCTTATCTATTTAATAAATACAAAATCAAAAATATTATTTATAATCAGCGTACTAAGTAAATTCATACATGATCATAGAGTATTGCTTTTAGAAGCAGTCACTCATGTTTTACAATACATCAAGAGGGCATTAGTTTTTGGTATTTTCTATGCACAAAACAAGAATACATTAGTAATTGGCTACATTGACTTAGATTGAAGGAATTATAAAATAAACAAGAAATCTATAATAAGATGGATATTCAAATTGATTGAAGGAATTATAAATTAGACAAGAAATCTATAATAAGATGGATATTCAAATTGATTGAAGGAATTATAAAATAGACAAGAAATCTATAATAAGATGGATATTCAAATTGATTGAAGGGCCAATATCATGGTTATCAAAAAAAAAAAAACAAGCAACAATAGCAATATCATTAACTAACGTACAAGCAAAAGCATTGACTGAGGGCATTTAGAAAGCAATATGGTTGTGCAATCTCTCTACAAATATCCATGGCACACCACTCAAGCCTATTTCCATCTTTTGCAATAATTAGAGTACTATGAAGGTGGCTTGAAATCCAATCTATTATGAGCAATTCAAGCATAACAAACTTTAGCTTCACTTCATCTCAGAAGATGTATTGAAAGAAGTAATAGACATAATTTATACTCAAACATATGACTAGATAATTGACTTGTTTACAAAACTACTTAATAAAAAATTATTCATCAAATTCAAAGATGAACTTGATGTCAAAAACATTCACATGCTCAAACTAAACTAAAGTCACCGCAAGTATCTATGTCAAGGACAAGAACTGAATGAAAAAGCAATTCAGATAAGTAAGCCTTCACTCAAAGAAAGGTAACAAAATATAAATGAACAAGTATGTATATTGAAAGAGAAACTGGAATGGCTATTGCCAAAGACTAGAAAACATGAAGACTCTTGAAATTAGACTGGAAACAAGAAAGGAGTTGACAAGAGTGAAGAAGGCTTCACTCTTGTCTTTATATATACTATCTAACTAGAGTCTACGTGGCAACGATCTATATGACCTCCAATATGTATTGACTTTGTAGGACACATGCCTTGACTTACAAGGCAAGTTTTTCTATGTGTGGGCCACATTATTAGCTTAGTCTTCAAGCTAACAATATGTGTGGCACATGGCCAACTTATTGACCGCGTTTCTAATCCAAAAAGTCAATTAAAGACACCTATGAAGTCAAAGCAGTGTCTATGAAGCTTCTAGAAAGCTTCCATAATAAATACTATAGAATTAACTTACTTCTACCTATTTATATATGTAATTACTGGCTTACATGAGTATGTCCGTGACATTATTTTCCCTTCTAGGGACAAGTTCTACGAGGAGCGGTCATCATATATTGAGGAAATCTATGATGCGACGAATTATATTCGCCACATACTCTGATCTTTGTTCTCTTCGAAGATGATTGATAGGACCTCTCAACCATCGGTAGTGTCCCATACCAAGGCGGGAAGACCACTCAGTTATTTGATCATTGTTGAGGCCTTCATAACTTCTTTCGAATAAAACATTTAGAACACCATCAAGAGTTGTTCCTACCTCTAGTAAAATCATCAAACATTGGAAGTCCCTTCTCAAGTCGTGATACCAAACACATTGTATCTTGCCATCTATTCGAGAAAGAACATGTCATTCTTGAAGATCTTCATTTCGATTGCGTCATCTTGAAGGTTGTGATAATCGTAATGTCTCGTCCGACAGGTCAACAAATGAAGGTTCTTAAGTCGAATCTGGTGGTTGTTGGTTCTCCATCTCTTGAGCGTCACAACTACAAAGAAGCTACAAACAAGGATTGAAAGTAGAATGTTATCTTGCCTAGATGTTGTTTCTTTTATAAAGAAGGTTTTTATCTTGATTTTGATAGATTTCATCGATGAAAAGCCTCCACCGCCTTTGTTGCATTTGCAAGATTCTTAACTGCCTCCCATGTACATTCACTAATATCATATCCGTGATAATGGATAAGATATTCTAATTTATTTTGGCTCCACCTTGAATCTAGGACTTCTTCTATTTCAAACTCTTCGTTATTGTCTACTTCTATAGGAGGAGGTGGAGCTTGTCGTCTTCTTGGTATGTCCACTGTCTTGTATGGTTCAAGAAGAGACACGTGGAATACTGGATGGATTTTCATTGACTCCGGTAGATGTAAATGATATGCAATTGGATTGATTTGTGCAAAAATAGAAAATGGTTCAAGCCTTCGATAGTCCAACTTGTCACAAGGACTAGTGGTCTTGATATTGTATTAGAGTAGCCATACCTTATCACCCATATGGAATGGTGGTTATTCCTTACGATAGACATCGGCATTGATCTTTTGTTGTTCTTGAGCTTCTTTTAACTGCGCCTTCATCGTTGCATGTAGCTATGACAAATGAATTGCCAAATCTTCCGAA